AGAAGAGGGCGATTATTAGACCCACGCATGGCGTAGGACGCGAGAGCCGATAATTAGTTCCTGCAGGACCGACCGGGCGCATTCGAAGGTAAGCATTGGTTTGAAAAGGTCACGATAAGCCTGCGGAGGAGCAATCCAACTACTTGTGTGAGCGACGTAATAAGAAGAGGGCGGGAAATGCTCAAAACCCAAGAGTGTGGGGAGACATGAGCTAAGGAGGTAGTGTAGTGTAGGGGGGGAGTGGGTGGGAAGGGAAGGGACAAGGAGGGACGAACCTGGAGTGGCTGCAGGAAGGGACTGGGCGTGTTTGACGAGAAGGTGGAGATGGAGAATAACTACTGTTAGTCGAATAGTCAAGAGTGAGTAGTGAGGAGGAAGACGGAAGTGCGATCGAACCGCGGGGAAGAAACGACTGCCGAGCGAGTGGATACACTTTGGCTCTCCAAATTCCAAAAGTGGTTGCGGACAAAGGCTCTGCCGTCGCTGAGCCGTAATTTTCGTATGCATTTCGTATCTTATGTTACCGCCACGTCCGGATGACCCGGAATGACTCCGGCGGCCGAACAACCAAGTTGTTAAGGAAAGTTTACTAGTAGTACTTTGCAGTGAACTGGAGTTAGTTCAACTGAGTTTAGTTAACTGGGATGTGCCTTGTTCCTTGTCCTGCATTGATACCCCGCGGGGAGCGCAGCTCAATCCCCAGGCAGCAATTGACCTAGAACTCTTGGTTACATACTGAAATGCACACGCACTTTGGGTGCGGCTGGAATATGCCATGCGACACAAGACTGGGTTAACCAGTTATAGTAGTGGTAGACGGGGGAAAGGTAAAGGGTCTGAAAATGCTGGAATCTGAATGGCTCTCCACACCTTCTCTTCCCCAAGTTCTACTAACACTTGGCTCCCTCACCCCCGGGCTCTTCGGACAACTTCCTAATTCCCGAACTGGACCAAAATCTCCCACATTATGATTCCACTATCCACAATCCACAGTCCACTATCCACACAGACACACAAGAAGGATTCATAATTTAATTACATTTGATTTCGTATTACCAAATGGATCCCCCCATCCCCCGGCGCTTTACTCCATCTTGTCCACCGGGGACACTTAGCGTTTCCAATCCGTGGGTTCTGATGGGCCTCTTCGACCTCTTTTTGCCTTTCACACTTTCCACCACCAGTAGTAAGTACTTAGCTTTACACAGTAGTTTCCCCAATCGCGATGCAGCAAAAGTGGCCTATGGGGGCGGGCGCTGACGCTCTCCCACCCGCGGGTAAGAAGTTAGGGCCGGCCTTTTCCCCAACTTTCCTCCAGCCGTCATGTCCGGCCAACTTTTCCTTTCTCCGCTCTTAGATCTCTCCCTCTCACTCTCCTCTATTCTTTTCCCATATTCCATTCTTCCCCCCCATCGGTCCGTCCTTTTGTCTTACTTTGACCTTACTACCTTCCCCTTCTCTATTAGCTGCCTTTTCATCATCCCTGTTCTATCTGACCGCCACTACTTTAGTTTCCTCCCCCTTCCCTGTTTGTGTTTCGCTGTCGCCCGCTCACTGGCCCTCGCCTAATTGTTCCTGCGGTGGGGCGGCCTTCAAGGGCCAATTTATGAGGTACTACCTGCCGCCGGCAAAGGATTCATCTCTTCGGCCACCCTCTCTGGAAGATGAACATGCGTCCGGAATTACCATCTAGTGGACCGTTGGATAGACGATCATGAACAACGACACGCGCCAAGCCTCCGGGCCTGGTAGCAAGTCAAAGCGGCGATTGACTGACGTCGAGGAAAATAGCAAGCAGAGTCCTGCTGCAGATGACTTCGCCTCTAACCCCAAACGCCAACGTGTCTCCCGGGCTTGCGACAGCTGTCGCTCCAAAAAGGACAAATGCGATGGCGTGCAGCCCGTGTGCTCGACTTGCGCCTCGCTCTCGCGGCCCTGCACCTACAAGGCCAATCCTAAAAAACGAGGCCTTCCGACCGGCTATATTCGCACCCTCGAGTTACTATGGGGACTGGTCTTCAATAAGATTCAAGGCAGCGAGGAGGTGGTGCGCGCCTTGTTGAAGGCGGCCAACATTCCCAGCCATCTGGCGACGATGGGCAAGGAGGCAGAAGGGTCCGATACCTTGTTGTCGTCGTGGAAGAACAGCATCGTCCTGAGAGAGATCGAGCGACTTTTGACGTTTTTGGAACAACCCGAAGAGGACCAAGCAGGTCGTTTACCGGGCGAGAGTGATTCCCCGCAAGATGCTGAAGGAAGCAGCGTCTTGTCAGCGGAAGCGCTGGAGTGGAATCTTCCAGACGTGTTGGGAGAAGGGCGAGAAGGGTCGTTAGCGGTAGTATCTCCTATCAAGACCCCGTCCGCGTTATCGACAGCTAAGGCCTCTGGAGTGCGGATTACGCGGGACTCTGCGACCCAAACGGCTACAACCAACGATTCAGGGGAGGATGCATCGAGCCTGTCGCTGGGTAGGTTAGCGCAGCGCCTGCCCGACCAGGCCTCGCTTCCCATCCCTATCCCCCAACTTCCCTCGAACGCTTGGCCCTTGTTAGACATCTACTTCTCCTACACACAATGCTGGTTTCCCATCCTTGAAAAACACGATATTTTACGAACAGCGTTCCGTCATAATGAAGACGACGCTCAAATCTCCGCCATCTCACCAGGTTCTGGCGATTATGCCGCGCTGTGGGCGGTTCTGACGCTGGCCTCCATCCAGGAGGCCTCGATCTCCACTACGCGACAACTGACCGACTTTGCTGGTGATCGGCCTGATCCAGCGCAGCTGTACGCCACGGCTAGACGCCTCATTCCCGGGGAAAACGGGAACCACGAGCTCGGTCACGTGCAGGCATTGCTGATTTTGTCACTGGTAAAGCTGGGCCAGCAGGACTGGTCAGCAGCATGGCTACTAGTCGGACAGGCTGTTCGCATTGCTCAGAGCCTTGGTTTGAATCAATCCACGGGGCAGTCGAAGAGCACGGAGGAAGGCAAGAGTGCACCACGGTCTAAGCACGTTTTTCTGGGATGCTTTATCTTGGAGACATTGGTCGCAATGCAGACGGGACAGGTGCCGTCGCTGCGCAAGGCAGAGCTCATTAAGATTGGTCCCATCAACGAAGACGGGTTGGAGGAGTGGCACCCGTGGGAGGACCAGACGGGACTGCGCCCGGTCGAGCCGTCGCGCGCTTCATTCCACCGCGGTCCTCTCCACGCCTTGAGCACATTCAACCGACTCACTTCGCTGATGTGTATTTTGAACGACTTGTGTTGTTTGAAACAGACGACTACCGGCCCCATCGCACACTTGGAGGCGCTGGAGCGACAACTCCAACTCTGGGTGTCGGCACTCCCAAAAAGCTATCGCGTTGATCTGCAAACTACACCGATCAAGGTGGCTTCCCCACACATATTTGGGCTCGAGATGATGTACGAGAGCGTCGCTACGAACCTGAGCTTGCAATTTGCGTTGCAGCGGAGCGACCGCAACATGTCCGAGATGCCGCTGAAGAAGCGTGCCACGGAGAGCTCGAAACGGTTGCTCCAGTTACTTCAGACATACATGGAGAACTACAGTCTTTCTGCCACTTGTCCTACGTTCGGGCTGGTTCTCACAAGTGGCCTGTCACCGGCTGGAGAACGAGCGGCGCCGCTGCCATTTGAACTGGACCCCGGCCTCAAAAGCAAACTTCAATCTTTTGCTGCACATTTGGCGACGGTCTGGCATATCAAGGACAGGCCTGACACGACCTTACCGGAGAAGATTCCGGACCTGCCCGCATCGACAACACCTGCGCCTGCCCGACCGAGAAGCCTATCCAACCGTGATACGGGTCCGCTTCACGCTTTCGCTCAGGCTCCGCTGGGCGCGGGCGAGCCGGCACGACGAGTGAGCATGTTGGAGGACAACCGTACCAACATGGCCACACCAGATGCCTTCTTTTCGAACGGGTGGATGCGGACACCCACGGTCGATGACAATGTGGCACTATCTATCCCCACTCCTGCCCCGTCACTGAATATCAACCAAGGCGGCGAGACCGCCCACCCTTCCTCTCAACTCAAAGAATCTATTCCTCCTAACCCTTTGTCTCACCATCCTCGCTCCTCCATCTCCTCTACAAAACCAATGAACGGTACAGGCACACCACTGATGCCGGACCTGACCTCGCCTTTCCACACCACTGCACCACAGTACCCACCTCCATACGGTGATACCAGTCTCAATTTGGGATCATTTGTCGACATTGACGGATACGGGCCGCCGCGACGACCGCGGATTGCACCGGACCTGGACGCGTTGTTTGACGAACTGGCGTCGCTGGATGGGACTGAAAAGTGAGTTTATCACGATTTGCAAATCAATCTTTACTAACAGCTGCAGAACGGACAACCAACCGGAGTTTATGCAGAACCTCGGGTTCGTGCCCGAGGCGGGGGTGCCGGAGCTGTACTCGTATTCGAGCCAAGTGGAGCCATTCCTTCTGGCGCAGACGCAGCAGCAGGTACCATGCGAGGTGGGCGGGGTCCGACGGGGGTCGCAAGCGGAGGGGAAGAGATGAGCAGTTAGACAATTGACTGCTTCTGTTCATATCTAACCCACTGGCCTGGTTTCAGTTGACTGCAGTAAGGTATGTACTGTGTGCTATCCAACCAATCCTTGATACTAACTTCCGACGTGCAGACAGGCTGCAACCACCGATCCATATTCCGCTCGACCTCTCTCTTTAACCAGCACTGAAGGAGAGCATATGGTCATTGTAGATATATATACGGCCCAGTATCACTTCATCTGACGAAGTGACCCATCCAAAGGAATGGAAGAAGAAAAGGGAATGCTGGCTTCTAAGCAAAGCCACGATGAGTGACGACGACCTGAACTGTACATATATGCATATTGCACCGATAGTATACCCATATCATACCATACATAACAAGCTTTTCCTCCACCACACCCTCATTTCTCATAAAAAAAAGTAGAAGATAGAATCTCTATAAAATCACAACTTTCCCCCCTCCTTCTTCAACGGCGCCCAATTCCTCGCCACGTATTCAACCGCAACCCTATACCCCTGCACGCCCAAACCCACAATAATCCCACTCGCCTTATCACTGAAAAAGCTCTTGTGTCTCCACTCCTCCCGCGCATGCACATTACTCACATGCAGCTCGATAAACGGAATGGACACACCCAGCAACGCATCCCGGATCGCGACGGATGTGTGTGTGTATGCGCCGGGGTTGATGATGATCGCGTCGACGGAGCCCCGCGCGGCGTGGATGCGGTCGACGATGGCGCCCTCGTGGTTGGATTGGAATGAGGCGAATGTGCAGGAGAGAGAGGTGGCTAGGTCGGCGCATGAGGACTCGATTTGGGAGAGGGTGGTGCTGCCGTAGATGTGGGGTTCGCGGGTGCCCAGGAGGTTGAGGTTGGGGCCGTTGATGAGGAGGATGGATTTGGGGGTGGGAGTTTGCAATTCCATTTTGGAGATGTAGTAGTATGTATGTTATGTATGTGAGAGGATTTTGTAGTGGTGGTGTGGTGGTGGTAGTATAGGTTGGTAGATGGAGGAAGGAAGTATGAATAGAGGATGTGGTTGGTGGTAGTATGGGTAATGAATGTGTAGGTTTAAGTATTCTACTTCATATGTTATATCTATGGAGATTATCGGGGATGACTTTTACCTAGACTGTTCCCTACTTTCTTTCTTACTGAGTAATGTCAGTCCTTGGATTAGGTAGGGTTAGCAGGTTATTGTTCGCAGGTCTTGGGGTAGGCTAAGGACTTGGCCGGGGCTGAGCGCTTTCCCGGGTTGGGTGTTGGGGGGCTGGTGCCGAGGTGCCGAGCGGGGTATTGGAGTGTATTTGAAGAATTGTGGGAGGTGGAGGTATAAGTATAAAGAGCTGTAGGCGAGATTACACACAGTGATGGTTAACGAGTCATGAATGACTGATTAGTTCTTCGGTGTAGTTCTTGCTGTTGGTCTAGTGGATATGATATCTAGCTGCATTGCAGTGATTAGTATTGGTATCATTACATGTCACACTAGTACCTACTAAGCTAGTAGGGTTTGTGTGGCAATACTGTCGTTCTTATTCGCCCTCTGGTTGAGTCCACGTGAGCGCACACGCGTTGAGAACTTTCCGTCTTTCCCACTAAACATCGGTGTCTGGCCAGTGCATCCCCGTGGGGAATCAGGTATTGTCATTGGCTCATCTTTGCGATCTTCGCTTCTCATCCCGTGACGGTTCCTCCGATTGCGGAGGGAGCCAGTCAACAACAGTATAGACTCACTTAGTAGACCACAATTGGCTCGCTACCTACACCCTCACATTTGCCCCCCACAACCGGCCATGGCTCTCGTTTCACTTCCCCTATCTGGCTCCCAAGCTTGTGTCTCCTCCCCCGTGGCGGAAAATTTGCAGTGTAGGCCAGTGCGCAACACGAGGCCTGACCGTGGCTCGTCCACTCTCCCCGTGAAGTCTATCCACGCCCAATCCTATCCCATCCCATTCTATCTCCCCTGCTCTCTAGAATCCTTCTGGTTGAATCCTGGTTTGCAAAGAAGAGATTGTTTTGCCGCCCTTTGTTTTACCCAACAATCGCTTGGGCGTAGTCTGATATCTGGGGTAATCCTTTGCCTCCTCCCCCAGTCTTTCTCCGCACCCCAGATTTCGATTGTCCGGGGAAGGGCTATATAACCCTGCCCTGGTGACTCCCATCTTCTAAGTCTCTATCAAACTGTTGCATGCACAATCTCCCTTGTTGATCATTATTGTAACTGCACTGCTACCCATCCATCTTCTTCTCGTCCAGACAGACAGACATCATGTCTATCCTGTCGATGGTCGAGGACCGGCCTACGCCTAAGGAGGTCTACAACTGGCGTATCTACCTCCTGGCGGCCGTTGCCTCCTTCACTTCATGTATGATCGGTTACGATAGTGCTTTCATCGGCACGACCATCTCTCTCGACTCCTTCAAGAATGAATTCCACTGGGACTCCATGACCCCCGCGAAACAGGATCTTGTCAGTGCCAACATCGTCTCCTGCTACCAGGCAGGCGCCTTCTTCGGCGCCTTCTTTGCCTATCCCATCGGCCACTTCTGGGGCCGTAAGTGGGGTCTCATGGTGTCAGCTCTGATCTTCACTCTGGGGGCGGGCCTGATGCTGGGTGCCAACGGCGACCGCGGTCTGGGGTTGATCTACGGCGGTCGTGTGCTGGCTGGCTTGGGCGTTGGTGCTGGCTCCAACTTCACGCCCATCTACATCTCAGAACTGGCCCCGCCTGCCATTCGAGGCCGGCTGGTCGGTGTTTACGAGCTAGGATGGCAGATTGGCGGTCTCGTGGGTTTCTGGATCAACGTGAGTGTCCCGTACAAGATATTTACAATCTACGATCATCGCTGACTCAAGAAGTACGGAGTGGAGCAAACCATGGCTCCCAGCCACAAGCAGTGGCTGATCCCCTTTGCCATCCAGCTGATTCCAGCGGGCCTGCTAATTATTGGCCTTTTCTTCGTCAAAGAGTCTCCTCGCTGGCTGTTCCTGCGTGGCCGCCGCGAGGAAGCCATCAAGAACCTCTGCTGGATCCGCCAGATCCCCGCCGACCACATCTACATGATCGAGGAGATTGGGGCCATCGATCAGACGCTGGAGCATCAGCGTTCCACGATCGGGCTCGGCTTCTGGAGGCCTCTCAAGGCGGCCTGGACGAACAAGCGCATCCTGTACCGGCTGTTCCTCGGTAGCATGCTCTTCTTCTGGCAAAACGGTTCCGGCATCAACGCTATCAACTACTACAGCCCGACCGTGTTCAAGAGCATCGGGCTGAAAGGCAACAGCTCCAGCCTTCTGACCACGGGCATCTTCGGCGTGGTCAAGACTGTAGTGACAGTCATCTGGCTGCTGTACCTCATCGACCACGTCGGCCGCCGGCTGCTGCTGCTGATCGGTGCCGCCGGCGGGTCCATTTGCATGTGGATTGTGGGCGCATACATCAAAGTCGTGGACCCGACTCGCAACCAGAGCGACCACCTCGACGGGGGCGGCGTCGCAGCCATCTTCTTCTTCTACCTGTGGACGGCGTTCTACACGCCATCCTGGAACGGCACACCCTGGGTCATCAACTCGGAGATGTTCGATCCCAACATCCGGTCCCTGGCCCAGGCGTGCGCTGCCGGGTCCAACTGGCTCTGGAACTTCCTCATCTCGCGCTTCACGCCGCAGATGTTCGCCAAGATGGACTACGGCGTGTACTTCTTCTTCGCCAGTCTGATGATTTTGTCGATCCCCTTCGTGTTTTTCCTCATCCCGGAGACCAAGGGTATCCCGCTGGAGAACATGGACCCGCTTTTCCAGACTCAGCCCGTGTGGCGTGCCCACGCAAAGGTGTTGGCGCAGATCCACGAAGACGAAGAGCGGTTCCGTCGTGATCTCGAGGAGTCGGGCTACACCAAGGGGGGTGTTGAGCAGGTGGAGGATACCAGCCGGAAGGAATGAGCGACTGCAGTATTCCTGGATTGCTAGTTAGATGATAGCGACCGTTAGGTCGACATGGATTTACTTACCTATACTCTTGAACCTTGTATACCAATATGCCAATACCAATTGATATTCAGTCAAAGTTAAACAAGAATAAACTCTCTCGGCATCAGCCACACCCAAGACTCACCCAACTCAAAACCATATAAAAGACACAAGTTTGAAGAAAGTAGGGATGGATAAAGGTTAAATAAAACCACCCCTCTCCTCTTTTGCCGCTCCGGGGTCATCCGCGGGTTAAAAGAAACGGGGAAGGCACACACACACACACTCGAACAACATCGGCCCACCGGTCCCACAGACCACACAGTCTTTGCCGGGGATACATTACCCCCGGATAAACGCAACGCGGGTAAAGCGCTTTGCCGCGCGCGGGCGGGCGGACAATTTCCCCAATTTTCCTTTCTTTTCCCCCTCCCTCTTGCTTTGGGGAACACCAATCAACCCTAAGTTAGATGGGTTAAAGTATGTTGCCTGTTCCTGGTCCTGTTTGAGAGGGAAGAAAAGTACGCTTTTTGCTTTTTGACATATCACAAATTATTGTTTCAATTCTCGATTTTCTATTTGCTTGTTCTGCGGTTGCACAGCATATAGATAGGATCATCCGATAAGGTTTGTGCAATCCACTAGTTGACGCGGCTTAATCACATTGATTGATTGATTGATTGATGAACTAGTTGTACTTTTTTGCATTCCTTATCTTGCTTGCAAGGACTGGATTGTTCTCTATAAAGAGCATCATTATCACCCCGCCCATAACACACATCACAATCCTCTCCAAAAAATACCAAAGAAGAACAAAACAACAAAATGCCCAACCGTCTTGGCATAGCCTCCATGTCCCTGGGCCGTCCAGGCATCCACTCCCTCCCCTGGAAACTTCACGAAGCCGCCCGCCACGGCTACAGCGGAATCGAGCTCTTCTTCGATGACCTGGATCACTACGCAAACACCCACTTCAACGGCAGCCATGTCGCGGCCGCCCACGCCGTGCACGCTCTCTGCACGACCCTCAACCTCACCATCATCTGCCTGCAGCCCTTCTCCTTCTTCGAGGGTCTCGTCGACCGCAAGCAAACTGAGTACCTGTTGACCGTGAAGCTGCCCACATGGTTCCAACTCGCCCGCATCCTCGACACCGACATGATCCAGGTGCCCTCGAACTTTGCGCCCGCTCAGCAAACCACGGGTGACCGGGACGTGATCGTTGGCGACCTCCAGCGCCTCGCAGATATTGGTTTGGCACAGTCCCCGCCGTTCCGCTTCGTATACGAAGCACTTGCCTGGGGCACGCGGGTTAACCTGTGGGACGAGGCGTACGAGATCGTCGAGGCCGTGGACCGTCCCAACTTCGGCATCTGCCTTGATACGTTTAACCTCGCGGGGCGGGTATACGCGCACCCCGGCCGGAAAGACGGCAAGACAGTCAACGCGGAAGCGGATCTAGCTGCGTCGTTGAAGAAGTTGCGTGAGACGGTGGATGTGAAGAAGGTGTTTTACGTGCAGGTTGTGGATGGAGAGAGGTTGGATAGGCCGTTGGATGAGACGCACCCCTTCCATGTGGAGGGGCAGCCGGTGCGGATGAACTGGAGTCGCAATGCGAGGTTGTTTGCGTTTGAGGAGGACCGCGGCGGGTATTTGCCGATTGAGGAGACCGCCAGAGCGTTCTTTGATACTGGATTTGAAGGATGGGTATCGTTGGAGTTGTTTAGTCGGACGTTGGCGGAGAAGGGGACGGGAGTTGTGACGGAGCATGCGAGACGTGGGCTGGAGTCGTGGAAGGAGTTGTGTCGGAGGTTGCAGTTTAAGGGGGCAGAGCCGGGACTGGACTTTGTTCCTGGAGAGGTGAAGGTGCAGTCTGTTGCTGTGGGGAGTGGAAAGGGGAAGGTCGAAGAGGAGATGGGGGCTGTGCAGCATCGGTTGTAGATGCTACACTACCGTGTATATGTGCTCATGGTTTGTATATATGATGTTACTATTTCGGGTTGGTTTGGCATGTTTTGTTATAGATACAAGGGATAGATTATATGATTGATTTACGGGTTATATTCAAGGTGCTATTGTGGTGTGTGCTGTTAGTTGAACTAGTTGATGGTAAATGCAGCTACACTTTCAGAACAATCTGCAGAACTCAGGGATCGGTAGTTACCAATATTGATATCAGAGTTAAAATCTTCCATGTGCAGAGCAGTCACACTGATGATATTTTCGTAGGGGCACGATCAAGATCAAGAGCGCCATTCCTGAAAGGCGTTCCAAGATATCGCTCAAAAATCTTCCAGCCGTCGGATGTCATTCGAAGCCGATCGATGATGGTCCCAATCCACCATATGGCGGGCAATCCATTCTCCCTAACCACATCCTTTCGAGTGAATCCAGCCGTGTCATCGCCCGGCCAGCCATAACGGATAAGGGTCTCTTGATACCGCACAATCACACCTCCATCTTCATCACGATCAACGATGTGGTTTGTGGCACTGCGGGAGATCCCTGGAATAAAGAATCCGTACATTTTCTCGAAGAATTCCTTCATCTGCTGGTGCTCACTGATGGTACCATGGCTGTGGTAAACAGTAGCACTTGGGAGGAAGGTGTCAATCATTTTGGCATGGTCAAATTCCTCGAATACAAAGTTGTGGCGGTTGACGAAGTCGATGGCGCTTGAGCGTTCTTCAGAGGTTACATCGTTTAGGGTAGAGCCGTTGACAGGAGGGTATCGCCCATTGACAATCAATGAAGACATGTTGGATAAATTGGACTGAAGATCATGTAATTGCAACCATGAATAATGAAGACCGGATGGACTTCATTGTCGCTCTAAATCCAAGAGAATTTCATGGTGCCTATGTAGTAGCCTTTCGGACGTGCCGGCATGCTGCATAGTTAACCAGAGAAGATGATGATTAAACATAACTGATGATCATTAATCATTATTCGCAGGAACCGAGGATCACTAATCACCCCGACAATGGCTGGGCAGGTTGCAGTTCCTTTACCCGCGAGGAGAATCCAAGATTGGAGATTAGTAGTAAACCCTTGAGGAATCTAGTACTAGTAAGGCCTGGCTTGAGTGAGTGGTTGTCGCGGGGTTCCTGATATATCAATTGATGCCTGAGGCAGAAATTAGTATGCATCAGTCCTATAATAGACCGCCGGGTCAGTCTGTCTGGATTGTTACACATCAAACTGGGGTTCGTTATCAAAGCCCAATCATATAACAAATGAAAAGAAAATAAGGCCTCCGCCCGGATTTTGCATACTTGACGGTATTGACATGCACTGGCCTTGGTCCACGATCCTTTCATTTCCCTCCTATTGCGGGGAGCATGAGGTATATAATATGGGTAGAGACTTTTAAAAAAGGTCGAAGTATACTTTAATCAAACGGCAACCTAGCTACAGCCCTACACACCCATAACGAATTTAGTCAGTTGCTGGATGGCGAAGGCTGAACACTCTTTGGCTTAACTCCGTGAACACAAACTAAACATATATAGTACTTAGTTCAAGCACAAGTATATATTCAAACTACCGTCAACGTCAATAGTAGCACCTACTCCTGACTCGTAAAAAATGTTAGTCCAGCCCGCTCGCTGCGCTTCCTCTGCCCGATCCGCTTGAGCAGGTCGGGATCCGCACGGCACCGGAGGAGACGGAAAGGAAGCCAAGAAGAGACAAGCAATTACCAAGCGCTGGGCAGGGCTTACGCCCAGGGAAGCATGGAGCATGAGCTCCTAGAGGACCTCATATATTCTTACTCATTTGCCAATTTCGGTAACAATAAGGATTTCGCAGCATGTCATGGCGAGTTGGCACATCGGCCCGACCCGACCCTGCGCGAATAGGGCTACGGAGATTAGCCACGGATTTTACCTCCTCGACCGAAGGCGACTCGGGCTCTCTTTTCGGTCTCCGGCGTCTTTGTTGCCCATTTTCAGTCAATTTTTCGTCGGTAGTCCTGTTAGAAAAGATGGTATATAAGCCCCTCCCACAATCACAAGTGCTATACTCCAAGCCAAGTCCAATAAACCCCAAACAAAGTGAAGAAGGACCATAAGACACTCACATTAACCTACCTACCATAATATCCTTAATCCTAAGCCATGTCCTTCTTCCCAACCACCCTCCCCGCCCTCCCCCTCCGCGAGGCAATCGTGGACCCGGTCTACCGCGCCGTCCTCTCCTTCGACGGCAACGATCTCCCCCTCTTCGAGTCCGCCTTCTTCGAGGACGCCGCTTTCGACTTCAACGGCAGCGTGATGGAGGGCCGCGCGGCCATCAAGTCTGGCAGCTGGGATAACGTTTCCAAGCTGGACACCACTCACTTCCTTAGCAACGTGCGCATCAACCTGCCCTCTGAGGACAGTACGACCGCGACGGTGACCGCTTCGGCTTTGGCCCAACACTTCCGTGCAGGCCAGGGGAACCAGCCCGACACTACCCGGCTGACGAGCGGGGCGCTTTACTCGATCGATGTGGCCAAGGATCCCGCGGATGGGAATGGGCTGTGGAAGATCAAGCTCTGGAGGATGAAACTGGTGTGGACGGAGGGAGATTGGGGGGTGATGACGGGAAACTAGACTGGCGATCTTTGTTTTCGTTGGAGAGGAAGGATGAGTGGATGACTTTAGAGTCGCTTATGATGATAAATATGAGCTCCACATGTGCGGCCCTTTGGTATATAGATTGGTATGCTTTATATGTTTTGGCATTCAGTTAACCACAGGACGCTATATTTAATAATAAGCGTCTAATTCTATCTTGCATGTTGATGATACTGCCAATCTATCCCTTCGTCTACTCTTGGCTTTTGAGTTACTTGCTAGTTCAAACTAGAGACTCATACGTTGGCATGTCGACAGTCTAGTTGACAAAACTGGCTGGATCAGCTAAGTGCACCGTGCGATTGAGACATCATCTTATGACTCTTATAATACCAACTTTTTTGCTATATGCATAACTAAAAGATTACATGTCTCACCATCTCAAGTCGGAATGTGGTATCTGCCCTGATTTGTACATGGTTCTAGTATTGAGAGATAGAGATACCCATAGAGATTATACATTATAAGTTTGACTGATTCGATATATGCCTTTGTAAAAGACATAAAGGAAAGATATCTATACAGCCTCTATCTACTTTGAGCCTTACTCAGCTTAACAGAACCTCTACGAATAGTGTGTCACTTATATGTTGAAATAGACAAGATTCAAGGCTTCTGATGCAGTGAAACATGATAACTTCTAGATGATAGTAGGTTGGAAGTATAGATTCTTTATTATTATATAGAGTACTATTGATATAGGCAGAGATTACTTCGATAAGTAGTTCGAATAACCCTGAATAAACTTGAGATTATGTATATGTTTAGTTTGAGTTCTACGAGGAATTAGCATCACTACAAGGAGTCAGCTATTCTTCGAAGGGTTTCAAACCTGACAGGCACGCTAGCAAGCTAAGATGAAATACATAACTTAGTCGCGTACAACTCAGAAGGGTAACATGATCCAAGTGCGTAAGCTTAAGCGAGCGCCCAGGATAGCAATCACTTTCTCTAAAAATTACTCCTGGAACAATCTGGGACCGATCAGTGGGATTGAGCGAACCTGAAGCAGACATGAAGGTCATTTGCTTTCGCCAGGAATCTATAGTTCGATAAAGTGAGGCAGATCCTGACTAATCCTCACATGACAGTGCTAGCCGGTGGGTCACTGGATTCCGAGACTCTTCATACTCCACCATCCACTAGTCCCATCTAGTTTGCTTCTCTCCTCACTATCGATCCCAGTTTCCAGGATCCGGGAATGCTCCGCTGCACCTTCAGTCACAAATCCTCCTAGCGGCTATGGTCCAAGCTCAGGCTCCCGGAAAGTCGGTCCGCTTGGCTACCGCATGCACCGAGTGTCAGCGTCGGAAGCAAAAGGCAAGCATCCGAACCTATCATGAATCTCGAGCAGCTCGAGTACATCTGCTAATACCACGGTGTATAGTGTAGCCGAGAATGGCCCTGCAATCACTGCCAAGCACGAAGGATTGCCCATCTCTGTAAATTCACACCGAAGAAGGTGCTCAAGGCCAAGCCTGCCTGTAATGATTCAAGGTCCGCTCAAATAATGCCTCAGTTGTCTTAGGCCACTGTTGACGCTCGCAGGGCGATAGATGTGCCCTCGAGAGACAGTGGACAAAGCCTGACGGAAGTTCCGGGCTCAGTCGGATCGAGCATCGCCACCGGGGATGATTTCCGCATGCTGGGATACCTCCCCGATGACGACGATCAACTTGCAAATGGTGCTGAGCAATATGTAAGACTGCAATCTAGGTCTATAATTGACCAGGAATAACGCTAAGTGCTATTTGCTACAGCAATCAGCCGCATTATCGTTCTCCCAAAGACTCGTATCGCCCGAATTGGAAAAAGCAATTCGCACTATTCCCCCCAAACCTTATACAGGTAAATGTGGCGACGGCTCTTCGTGATAGCCTGCTTACTTGTGCGACTTATGCTAGATATCCTGGTACAGTACTTCCTGAGTGAGATGAATGACCAGTACTATTGCCTCTACCCACCGACCTTTTCGCACGACTATGCGACATGGTGGTCAGGCAAAGCCAATGGCCAGTCATTGACGCCCGCCTTTACAGCCCTGCTGCTGCATGTTTGCGCATGCGCTATTCTCTACCTGGATGTCGAGGCGCGACAGCAACTAGAAATCGATTTGGGCGAAAACTATACCTGTCTTTCAGAACAATACCATAGTACTGCCAAGCAGCTCAGCAATACCATTGGTCCAGGCAAAGGTGGATTGACGCAAGTACAACAACTTTTCCTTGGGGCAATATGGTACAAGACTGAAGCATTATTTGTCGAATCATGGCATGCTCTGGGAGCTGCGATCCACGAGGCCCAAGAATTAGGTCAGTGCCCCATACATCCAGCCAGTCGGATACTGATCCGGGGTAGGAATGCATCGTAGTTCCTCCAAAGCAAAGGTATCTGAATTCGAACGGGAAATGAGAAGACGGATATGGAGTCTTCTCTACACCTGGGACTGGTAAGTCCTTATCCCTTCTGCAATACCTTACACTAACGCCACAGGCAAATGTCACTCCTCTTATCACGACCATTCATCATCAACAGCAGCTGCTGTTCCTTCGAACTACCCAGCCTACGACTCGAGACCCTCAATACAGAAACAAACACCCCCTCCCCAATAACATCCATATCCCTCCAATGCCAACTAGGACAAAGAATATCCACAATCCCCGGGGTAATGAGCGGTATCCTATCCCCAAACCAAGCCATCGCAATCCAACAAGAAGTCATCCGATGGACCGACACCTTTCCCCCAATCTTCCACATCCAAGACCCCGACACCACTCACGACCACACCCACGCCTATATACCCATGCAACGCCACCAACTCCACGCCCTAGCCCACATGGTCACCTTCATGCCCCTCAAACCCTGTCTCACCATCGACCTCACCACCCACAATACACCCACCCTCGAAAAGTCCCTTCAACCAACCGCAGTATCCTGCGCCCTGGACCTAATGCTCTCGGCTCAGCAACTCCTTTCACATCTCCTCCCTGCAAACGGCAAGTTCCACTTCGCGCCATTTCTAATGTTCGACACGGCTGCGTATCTCTGCTCGGCACTAATCCACGATAAACATCGGGACCTTCCTCAGCGGGAGAACGTACTCGAGTGCATATCTCTATCCCTGAGTACACTGAAAGATGTCGGCAGAACGGCCAAAACTGGCGCTACTTGCTATGCTGTTCTTGCGAAGATAGTCGGTAGTATCTCTCTTTCTGCCGAGGAGAAGGAAGTGGTCTGTTCGAAGAGGTCTCCTGCTATAACGTCTACTACTGATAGTACTGATGATGCGGGATGTTCTTCGTCTGAAGACAACCTTACCACCAGTGGACAGGTCAATGGTTTAGTCTCATCATTGCTGGAAAGACACAGCCCCTCGGACAGTACACCTATTGATATGCACGCGTATGCGAGCGGACTAGGACTAGGCGGTCTTCCTAGCACGGGCCTAGACTTGGACCTGGATCTGAGTGATCTGAATCAGATCTGGGATTGGGATAACCTTGGTTTAGATTTGGATATACCCGGTATTCAATCATGAATTCTTTGTACTTATGCTATATGGAGATAACAACCATACTATCAGCTGTTCCAGATAGAACTTCTATCTAGTCGTAAACAACAACAATACCTCTCTACTACCATGCCCCTTACATCACATTGAAAATAGTTCTTCATATACATACATACATAACCTATAGCATAACCATCATATACATCCAATCATTAATCATCCAATCCAGAAGTCCCAACGCCATTTCGCCACATATTTACCGATTAACCATGTAACCCCATCCATCCATCAGTCAAAATCAACCTACTCATCTTCTTTCTCCTCCCCATCATCGATAATCATCTCCACCTCCTTAACCGGATGTAACAGCATCGGCGGCAAACACATCCTTCCTTCACCTGCCAACTCGGCCTGCTCACCCCCTTCATTATCAACCTTATACCCCAGCCAACGTTTCCACAGATTCGGCGCGAACCCAGCAGAGTAGAACCACGTCGAGCCGCGGAAGTTATGTTCTCTATCGCCGAAGACTGACGTGCGAGCACCACCAGACGCACCGTTCCGGCCAGCATTAAATACCGATTCGAGGTACTGAGTCGGCCAGCGGCGGTCAATGTACACCGAGTGGGGCACATAGACGGCCTTGAATCCGTGATGGAGGGCCGTCGTGGCGGGCCACATTTCGGAGAACATAGTGTGGCGCTTGTGGATGGTTTCGTGGTGCATGGTTTGGAGGAGTTTATTGGAGAGACGGGAGGCAGTGATGATGGAGGCGCGGCGGGGAGGAAGAGGGCCGGTGGAGTGGTCGTAGCCGGTGACGTCGTCGCGGAGGGGCCAGGTTGTGCCTTCGGGGTCGAAGAGGGGGTTGAAGACGATGAGGTCGGCTTCTTCGTCAACGCCCCATTCGTAGCGGTCTTTGTCGATCGTGGTGGGTGGGATGCCTTCCGAGGGGACTTCGAGGATGTCGGGTTCGTTAGGCCGTTCGGGACCCCAGACTGGCTTGTCGCCTTGTTGTTGCTGTTGCGCTTTCAGGGACTCGGGGGTGCGGTCTTGGCCGGGTCGCGAGGCGCCGGCGGCACTCCAGAGGTTGTTGGGGCTGTTGGTGCCGATGTCGGTCTGCACGCGGACCATCTGCCGGAAGTCTTCCCAGGTGCCGTGCACCGAGGGGACGTAGAATCGGGCGTTTCGCTCCCAGAGACCCTTGCGTGGTTGGACTCGGGCCCAGTTGATGACTTTATCGAAGAGGTGGTACCAGTGGCCGGTGTACCGGGCGTCCATTTCCCAGTTCCAGTAGTAGTCGTATCCCGGGTGCTGGTGGGCAAAGTATTGCATGGGCATGTAGGTGCTGCGGTATACGCCGTGCACGGATAGCCCGCGGGCCCAGGTCTCTTCGAGACCGGGGTACATGAGATTCATTTGCCGCTCGGACCAGAGAGTAGCCATGCCGCGGAATTCGGCTGGCAGGGCCTCGTTTAGCACGCGCTCGTAGACTTCATCGTCAGCCCAGATTTGGAGGGTTTCGTCCCGGACCTGGACCAGGAAATGAATGGTGTATTCGCCGCCGGAGAGAAGTGATAGCTCGGAAATGAGGGATCGCAGATACAGGATGTCATCCGGGGTGTAGTGGAAATCATGCCACGTGCGGATCACGAATGCGGTCCGGGGTAGATAGGACTTTCCATCAGATCTTGCCTCGTCCTGGGGTGCTTGCTTGGTGTCTGGTGCACCCACGGTCATAGTACGGAAGCGGTCGGATTGTGAAGCAGGAAGATCGCGGAATCGGTGGCTGTTCGAAGCCAAGCATCGATTCTGCGCAGCTGCCCAGTCAACACGACGAAAGTCAACTGGCGGAACGTCGTTCCAGACACGCTCTGCACCTTCACGATCGCCTTCGAGGCCTGCACCGATACCACCCTTTCGCACACTGTAGCCTAGACCGTAAGGGCCGAGACGCCCAAAACGGTCAAAGCAAACGTCGTCTTGAATGCCGATCATCTCGTTGGAGCCCATGATTGCATCTGGGAACCCACGAGGCACACCGGGATAGTGATGTACCAGAGGGATCCGTAGGTTCTCGTCCTCATCAAGGAAACAATCACGCTTCTCACCATACTTTTCGACATATTCCGTGGACGAGTAGTCGGGATAAGGGTTGAAGATAGAGCTCGACAACGGCAATGCCTGGTCCCGGGCCTGAATGATGGTATCATTTGCATCTTCCGCGCTATCAACGCCCAAGATCTCCGGGTTATCGTTGGGATACTCTGGCACCTGTTCGCTTCGCGATACCAAGGACCGGATACCGCCATGGTAGCGCTTCAGTAAAGGGAAACTCTCCCACTGTGCCGGCTTTGCAGCAGGCTTCGGCAACGGAACATTGACGCGAGTGACAGCTGAAAGGAAGGTAAAGCGAAACAAGGTGCAGATAAACAGAACCAAGAAGGCCAGTAGCGCGAGACAAAGCCATCTCATGATCCGATTAGGTATGCGATAGCCTGGCCTGCTGCGAGAACGTCGCACGGGTGCCACGGGCGCTCTGTTTAGCATGGGGCGATACGAAGCCACCGAGGAGGAGCTTTCCGAGTCATCTTCACTGTCTGGTTCATACGAGCTGTAGCTATCGCGACGGTAGTGGCGCCTCGGCCTCGATGGTTGCTTCTCAATATCGACGACATCGCGACTGTCGCTCGAATAGGGCGACGATGCATTGACCTGAGACCTCTTCGAACGGGCAGGCATGGCGGGGATCTATGTTCGCATAGAAAGTATGTATTGGTGGCGACGTCAGAGGTATGCGAGTGGATCAGGCGATCAATAGAACGGCATCAAGTTCGGGGGAAAAAAAAAAATGCTCGGCAGTCGATTTTGTTTCTGAACCGGCGCTCAATTGCTGCGGTGAGTGTAGACTCAGCGTGACTGAGCCCGAGAATGGGCGTGCGACTGTTGTGCACGTCTGCGACGGACTGCTAGTTAGAGTGGTATACCACGACTATAATAGCAGTGAATACAAACAAACCAGTACCAGCCACAGAAACCCCAATGTGACCACGGATCAAGGCCACTGAACCTCAAACAAGTTACCAGATGACGATGGCGAGAACAGCCCCGTATCAATCTCGATATCAACAAAACAGTGAGCTACCGACAGGTAACGACATAGCGAGCTGTTTGGTAGATCGGCCAGGAAGCGTTGCCCAAGGGACGGCCGTGCTGATGCACTAGCCCGGCAGGACGGCTTGGCGCAAGACATTGAGGCTGTCTTGAGTCGGTAAGGCGTCATGAATGGTCCAAGGAGACGACCTTGATGATGCCGTTCACAATGTAAGAAAGTACTCCTGGGAGCCGCCATGATGAAGTAGTTGCCTTCAAATTATCCGGAAATACAAAGAGAGTCCCAATTTGGAATGGAATGTCTCGTGCTGTCTACATGCGGTTAGAGGCATTCACGATCATGAACTAGTCCAGTATGGGCATGTTGTTGCCTGAGGTATTAGTGTGACTGATCAGGCCAAAAGAAGCAACCACCAGAACTGAAAGACAAGAACAAACAGGAAGTACAACAACCAGGCAGAACACATACACAAGACACATCCTCCCTCGTGCCTTCGCCATTGATCTGCAAGGTGCATCTGCACTATCTTCTTGATCCGACGCTGGCCGCCTCACCTAGACTATACTCGACTTCTAGGCATGACCATCTCCTACAAATCCTCGGCAACAGCGGTAAGATCACTCTTCAGTTGTCAATTGACCCAATATAACTGACAACACAGTCGTGAACTGCCCAGCAGGATCGATCCGAGCCTCTTTCATGAGAAAGAAAAGCAAGCATCGAGTCCAGCGTGACCCTACCCACGGGCCCACAGTTACCCCAGCTTTCTCTCCACACGCCCAGACACCAACTCACATTCCACCGCCAGCCATGAAAGCCTAACAAAGACCAGACCTAAACCCATTGTGCAAGAATGTGCCGGATTGGGAGCACCGCCTCGTGAGAGAACTCTCAACAGGGATAGGAAAAGTCACCCGCTGACTGGGTCGGCATGCCGTTGCTGACCGAATAGATACTGCGGAAACTAATTCGCTAGTTAATATTTGCTTTGCTTTTAGTTCCCGAGACCACTACCCATTGGAATGGCTGTCGTCATACATCACAGTGACGACGATCCGTCTCGTGTTCCAAGATCTCATGATGGCCACACCTATTTCATCGCACACTGAATTATGACACTGAGAGTTGCTGTTGCCCTATAAACGGAGATCAATCTTCTTTGTCGCCTAGACAGCTTTCGCCGCGCGGTACTTGCGGTGTGTGATGCAACGGTGATGATTGGCCCACCTGTCCATGCACGCTGCATTGCATCAAGCAGGTTCAGGTTCTTGATCAGGAGGTCTCGATGCCCCGACGGATAGCACTGATTGCTTCCCCGACCATTCAATACCAACTGGGTCAGTCCAGTATCGTGGCACCTGCGGTCTTGATGCCGATGACTAACTATAAAACTAGAGAGTGAATCACATACTCCCGGAGGTATGCAGCTCTCCCGACTCGAAGTCAATTGAGATAGAATCTATACCACTCATCCATACCCTTCCTCCCAGCCAAGCAGCGCCAGTCTTCACTACATAAGGCAGGGTAAATAACGAAGTGACGACAATGGTCCGTACCTCCTCGTTACCACCCAGCAAACCTCCATTAACACCAGACAGGAACACCCGACAACCAACCACACCTACAGTCCACCCCTGGACAGCATATTCCTCCTCCTACCAATCCTCCTCGTACCAACCATCTTCCTCCTCCACCGCATCCACAAAGACTACCAAGCCTTCCTCGCCCTCGGCCCCGGCGGCACTCCCTCCACCCCAACAGGCTACCTTCGCATCTGCCTCCTCCGACTCTTCACAATCCGGGACCCCTTCCAACCACCCTCCCTCCCACTGACCCTCCTCCCCAAGACCGGCCTCCTAAACTCCAACAACCTCCCGCAACGCCATGGCCCACGCCCCACCGTCGCCGGAATCGCTCCCCAGCGCCAAATGACCCAAAAGGCCAATCCAGCCATGTACGAAACCCTCTCAACCGAGATCCAGAAATTAGTATCCCAAAACCCAGAAGCCCTCTACGAAGGGACCTCATGCTTCGAGAAACACAGCACGGGCATGTTCTGCTCCAGCACCGACACACCCCAGCAACAAAGCGCAGGCGGCACGCTCAAAGACCGCGACATCTCCTCACTAATGATGTCCCGCAACCAACAATGGCGTCACCGCCGCACCTGCAACGGGGAAGTATGTCACGCGCACCCCAGCGACGGGAGTCTGCATTTGACGCTGCATCCGGCGGACGTGAAAACAGTGATCGAGCGGGGCTGGGGCCAGCGACATCCATTAACACGGGAGAGCTGGTGGTGGTGTTATTTGAGGACCGTGCCGACGGGATTCGTCATGATATATGCGCCGAGGGATCAAAAGGAGTTGGAATGTGTGTTGAAGATTATTCGTGCTGCGGCGTGGTGGGTGAGTGGGGAGGAACTGGTGCAGCAGAAGACGCAGAAGCGGGAGGGAGCACCTGTTCGTCGTCAAGTTGTGGAGGGATGTAGGTGATATATATACACTGTATATACATGATACTATAGTATATCAGTTCATATATATAGTACTAGAGCAAACAAGATAGTATTGGATAATTTGGCTTTGCGGATGTGGGATGTGGTAATGGGACGTTCATTCGAGGACTCGACACATGGGGAAACGGAGGAACCTGAAAGATGGATAGACTGCACTCGATAATACTAGCTATAGTCATAGTCATAGTCATAGTCATGTTATATTTATAAAATGTTATCACAACTCACTAAAAGTAGAATAAAAAACCGGCCACTACATGCACTCGTTCTACATTCTCATTCTCATTCTCGGGGCCAAATGCATCACAGCCCAGTCCATGGATATACTGCCTTTCCTTTTTCCATTTTGTCCCTTGTTCCCGTTCCCTCCCTTAATCTGCTCCGAGCACGAGGTCGAGTCGAGTCGAGTCGAGAAAGGGAAGGAAGGGAACGGCATGCGGTTGAGAAGCACAAAGGCAGAGAAGAAGTCGTAAAAAAAGAATCGGGCGGCGCCAGGGTGACAAAAGAAATGATAAAAAAAAAAGTAAAAGCTAATAGCATAGAGGAATGAAGAGCCGTTAGAGAACATACAAGAACCACCAAGTTTAGCAAGCATAATCCCTTTCCCCTACACGAGGTGACTTTGCCGGCCCCGGTTCCCCATCCAGCATCCGCAACTCCCAGGTTCACAAACTTCCAGGTATTCTTCCACTCATTAGATGATCAGTTTAGTCGCGGTTCGTTTTCCGCAGCGTCTCAGCAAGCCACTCCAGACCCTCGTACAGACCGTCACCAGTCGTGGCGCAGGTGGATTGAATGTACTAGAAAAGGGAAGCAAGCGCGTTAGTTGGGTGGATACTCGGGAGTGGACACCTTAGGTGTCGACATGCGAGGGGCATATAACTTACCCAGGGGCGGCGGGTGAGGCTCTGCAGACCAAGCTGCTGAGTGATCTCGGCAGGGCTCATGGCGTTCTAAAGAAGAAAGGATCAAAGTTAATATCCATCGTTTCGGCCTCCACGTTGTTGCAATGAGAGTAGATTTCAAGCATACCGGCAAATCTTGCTTGTTGGCGAACACCAGGAGAAGGGCATCACGGAGTTCATCCTCGTTCAACATGCGCTGCAACTCCTCACGGGCCTCGACGATACGGTCACGGTCATTGCTGTCGACAACGAAAATGATACCCTGAGTGTTCTGGAAGTAGTGTCTCCAGAGAGGACGGATCTTGTCCTGACCACCGACGTCCCAGACGGTGAACTGAATGTTCTTGTATTCGACGGTCTCGACGTTGAAACCTGCACAGCACAAAACAACACTAGTCAGTCTTGTTGTTTTCCCAACGTGGATTCAAATTGCGATTCCAAGCACAGCATCGTTCCGTTCGGCGCTGAGCCAAGCCCAGCTACTGATCGATGCCAAGTTCTGCTTTGTATGGACCGAGAAAAGGATAGAAAGAGGTGGACTGACCAATCGTGGGGATGGTGGTGACGATTTCACCCAGCTTGAGCTTATACAGGATGGTGGTTTTACCGGCGGCATCGAGACCGACCATCAGAATACGCATCTCCTTGCGGCCCCATAGCCGGTCGAACAACTTGGAGAAAGTGAGACCCATGACGACGGTTGCGTGAGATTCAAAGGTCTAGGGATGAGAATGCGATGTTAGAATCAATCTGACCAAGAGAGCCCAGGGTGTGCGAGATCCACACCGCACGGTCGGGGAGAGGGAGAAGAGTGAGAGAGTGAGAGAGGGGGCCAAGCGATAGAACACAGACCTAGTGACGTCGGGCAGAGGAGGGGGAAGGTATAGTATAAGGGTAAAAGGGCAAGTGGTATGACGGATGGAATGGAGTGGTGGACGAGGGGCGAAGGTAATCAGGTTAAGGTAGTCACGCCGGGGAAACACGGCGGGCAGGACAAATCAGGGGGAGAAAGCGGTGGCCGTTAAGGAAAGGAGAGGAAGGGAATAGAGGTGTGTGATCGGGTGACAATATTGGAGAGGAACCAGCCGGGGAGAGAGAGAAGGGGGGTAGTGGGAGAGGGTGAGGAAGGGGAATATAGCAAGACTTACCAGGTTGCGGGTTGAAGCTGGAGAAGGAGAGAGGGAGGGAGAAAGAGGGAGAGTTGGAAGGCGTGGATACGACACAAGACAGTTAGAGACAAGCTGGAGATAGTGAGTGATCAGTCAGTCAGTCTCAGTCAGAGTCCGTCAGTTCTGTTAGTTTCAGTCAGGTCGGTCAGGTTCAGGTCTTTTTTCCCTTGCCGTACGCCAGAAAGACGGTTTTTTTGACGAGGTGGTGGGAATTCTGGGTCGAGAAATTCAGCCGCTCGGCGTAGCTTCCGTCACTAACGAAACCAGCTGGTCAAAAATACCAAACTATGTATTATATTCTCAGTTACCAGGATGTCTGTTACGCAACACATAGGCACAATGCTTGCAATTGAAGACAGAAAGTGTATATAGATTGAATCTAGGATAGTAATAGAGTTTACCACTATTACTGAATACCATCCTACAGACCCAGACCGTCTAGACGAGGCTCTCGTGGTGTCCTCCTGCTCAAGACTGCGGCTCCCGAAAGGAAAAGAAGAGGACACGGTGTTTCCCGTCAATGGATTCCCGGTTGATACCAATTCAGCATCCCTGTTGCTGCCTCGAGATCGGCTTACCCACGAAACAAGTCCGTACCGTTTTTACGCCAAATGGAACGGGCTTCATCGTTGCCTATCCTCATGTCGCCCACAACGGTCTAATGCTGCTACCCGTTCACAGCCTCTTTGCTTTGCCCATCATACTCTCTTGCCTAACATCTATCTGTCTCCCTCCTTTGCCCCCCTGGGCCCCTCTTGGTCCCGAGAAAAGGTCCAGACACCCGGATCGGTGCCCACTCGGACACCTGATAGGTTCCCGAACAAGGCTTTCTGGGTACCCCGTCCCAGTGGATCGCCTTGGGTGGCACTACTATGGGGTGCAAGTCAAGAAGGGTATCGATGGATGTCTTGGGCTCACGCCTGTCGCTCAATTGTCCCTTGCACATTGGGAAATTGATGAGGATGATTTCAGGGTAAATTCCGTAATTTGGTGGCCATCGCACTAATCACTCTCCTAATTAGATTGACGAATCGTCTCACGCGCATAAAGTACGCCGTTGCGTTAAACACTTGGGTTCGTGCAAGCCCTCGGAACCCACAGGGGCCACTTTCAGCTCACTACGCGTCATGCTATTATTCATCCCTCGTGCCAGATAAGCAAGCGATTTTCATAGCGACAGACCATTGCCGCATCATCCCCGTGACTCCTGGAGGCGTGGCATTTGCAATTCCCCGTATCGGATTTCCATCATTGTTCGAGGCCATGCCGTCATGGCTCGTGCTACTGGTGTGGGCCTCAGGAGAATAATTGCGAGAGCATGTGGTAGGGTCTTGATGGACCCTGATCTGGATGGGGCGAATGCACCCGATAGGTAACATCATTCGGCCAAACAGATCACATAGCAGTGGCTTGTCATGAGCCATTCGAAACGTGCACTGCGGAATAAAGTAGCAGTGGAGTAGACATGTGACTGGTCTCTTCTTGAGATCTATAGCATCGGATTCGCTTGCATAGTGGTTGTAAGTTGTAATCTGTTCATTCGTGTGCAGGGTTGTGCATTGTACAGGAAGCTCTATATATTCTGAAGACTGGGTATCTTTTATCGCAACACAGAACTCGACGCGTCAAGATCGATGGCTAGCGCCGCCCGATGTTTCGTTTCTACGGTGAGACACCCGGTCTTTCGACATGCGGAAGAAGCTTCGGGACAACGATTGGTAGATTGTCTTGCCTTCCACAGTGTCGCTGGCATATCCAAAAATCCAGAGCAGGACCATCGACAGGAACAAGATCACGGCAAAGCTGACCCAGTACTGATTGATCGTATATTCGCCCTTGACGTTGCGAAGCTCGGTGGAGAAGTAACCAGTCATTAGACTGACTGGTAAAAACAGAATGGTCACTTTTGCGAGTAGAATCGTGATTCGCGTCAGTTTCTCAACGGCTTGGGAATCCTTGAGGGCAATTAAGTTGAAGTTCTATTAATCGGTCAGTATATTCCTTCTGTTCCGCGATGGACAAACCTACAAGGAATGTGAGATTTTCCTTCTCTGTCAGACAGCTCTCAATCTCCGACAGACAATATAGCTTGATGCGATCGAGCAGTCGTTCGAATCGAGCTACAGCAGGCGGACTTAGCTGGACACCCACATCGGCATCTGGGGTGGAAAAGCTGAAACTATCCCTCGTCGAGCGACGAGTATCCCCGACTTCGTTTTCTGCAAAGCTCTGTCCCATTGCCATTGGAAGGCGATTTGACCGGGCCTCGTCACGCAGCAGACGCTGTCTCTGCAGTATACGCATCATGATAAGCTCATAACTTTGATAGAGCCGTCTCAGGACGGCCAACTGTCTACCCAGCCGATGTAATTCATGGACCAGGTCAACCTCCGGTCTCGATAACATGTCTTGCCTCTGAACAGTGTTAATGTATGCGTGTGAAAAGGTAAAGAGCCATCACCATGGACTTACAAGTCTGTTGAGGGATACCCCGTATTTATGTTCGCGTTGTGCAACGAGAGCATACGATGAAACCCAGTCATCGAATATATAATAAAACAACAAGCTCGGCCCATCTTCTTGCTTGATGCTCACCTGTTCTGGGCCACCCCCGAGAAACGGTCTTACTCGAATAGTAACCAACGAGTCGCTTTCAGACGAAGCAAAGTGCTGTTTTGAGACTCCCGCAAAGATGAGCTGGATGTTCCTGCGGACTACACCGAGCACAGCTTGTAATTCCTTCTCTGATGGCCCAGACAAACCAGGGAATGGATTCTCCTGCATGCAAATGACCGTTCCTTGACCAGTCAGCACACCATTCTCTTGTCACCAGTAGCAAAACCTACCATCATTGCACAAGATTAGCCAAGTCCATAGTCGTTTCCCATCGGGCAACTCTCTCCCATTATGCTGGTCGGTTTGAGGAACAACAAATAGCGAATTGTACCCGACACAGGTATCTAATCCGTGTTAGCGCCATTTCAATAAGATCTGTAAATAAGCATACACTTCGAACCATAGTCCACCGAGCAAAAGTGCCAAATCTGATCGATAACATTACCAAAGGTAATACCTCTGAACGCCGCTAATGCCGCAATCTCTTCAGGATGTCTCAGGTTCTGTAAGGCATTCCCCTCCACATCATCCGGCCGCGAACGGCGCGAGCGATCGACATTGTTCGAGCGGAAGTTATTCCTCTGTGGCTCAGGAGGCACAGGAGGCTTCGAAGGACGTTCCACCGGATCCGTACACATCAACCCCTGCAGCCGCTCCGAGACACCATAGTGATTCGTAAGGGTCTTGATCAAATCCTTCTGTTGCTCCGGAGCCCAGATATTACTAGATAGAGATGTCAGCAACCAATCCTAACAACAGAAGGACATTACTAGAAAAGCACAACGTACATCCACCTCGTACCAAAACACTTCGGTTTCTAAGCAATCATTGTCAGCACGCCCCTCCCTCTCCGTCTCCGCAAAAGAGACAGCACATACAGGTTTCCTCAACATCGCCGCAACATCCTCCTGCCCCAAATTCACCGCACACCAAGCATCATCATTCCCAAAGTCGAGCACAAAGTTACGCGTCTGCGGATCCTTCAAGAGCTTCAAATACGCCTTGAGGTTAGTTTCATCATCGATATCGCAGAACGCCTTTTGCAGATTCGGTCTGGATTTGAAGCCGGCGTAGTATTCCTGGGGTGTTTGGAAGGTGGTTGAGCGGACGAGCTCGGACATGCTTAGTTAGGAAGTAGCTGTGCGTGTTAAATAAATATCGACAGAGATGTATAATAGGTATGAGCGGAAGATAAAATGCCCAGAAACTCAATGCACACAACTCAGGAATTTTAAGGAATAGAGCAAAAAAGACGAAAGACAAGGCTGCCGGCGCCTCTAAATAACTAAAATAGGCGCATAACTACCCTGTAGGTACAGTCTAGCCCAGTCAGTCAATCAGTCAGTCAGCACAGCCGAGCAGGTGCATGATGATCGAAATCATTCGAAGGGCTGAGATGAGAGCATACTAGTCAGTTGCCGCGGGGGGGGAGGACTAGAGCTAGGAACTAGTAGAGGGGTTGGGATTGGTGCATCGCAGCTGACTGACACACGAGGGCGGCGCGACGATCCATCACAAGCGCCCTTCGAGCTGAATTGTTGAGAGGGTGTGAGGGTTATGCAGATTAGCGCCCGTGTGACAGGCACCAATCATGAGTACCGGGAAGGTGCATACTGGTACTGTAGTACTAGTAGTGCTTTGAGGAGTGTATTGCTGCGCCATCATTGATATGGGGGCTTTTCTTTCGGAGAATGATGCAGGTGCTTTAGGGTACTACTAAGAAGAGGGGGGCTATCGAATAAGCGTGTTAGTGTAGCCGCAGGGTCAGTCAGGGTCTATACTAGTATGTTTGGGGGTGGGCGTGGGAGGGTTGTGATGCCGGCGAGAAAGGTTTATTTGAGGTGATTTTCGCAATTACAATTAGTTGTTCAGGATTTAATAGATAGGATGGTTATGCTATGTTGTTCAGAAATAGAATAGAATGAGTGATTTCAAGGGTAGAAAGTTGTATCCGGACTTGCTTGCATGTCTAAGCCACATTGCAGTGGCTTAAACCTTACAGGCATCGTCGGAGCCGAACCATGGATGCCTAATAGAAAGGTACACCAACAGGGATCTTCTATCGAATGTTACGTAGACATCCCCAGGATTATTAGAATCTAGCCGTTGGGGGGATAGGACGTGTGGTCGACCATATGTAGGGGACAGTGGCGGTGCATTCGACGATGGGTAACCAACGGTGTTCCATATGATTATCTTAGCTTCAACTTCAACAATGCTTTCTCGACCCTCCAGTGAGAGTCGCAACACCCTCAAAATAACGCAGAGACTAGACGTCATGTCTCTCAAGAGAGTAAGTAGTGCATCATACAGATGCTGTCGCTACTCGTTCTGCTGTCATGAACGTTAGCGCCCGTGACCCACCCATTTCTATAATTGGGTCCGTGCCCAAATGGGTGGATTGCTACTGACCATCTGATACTATCAAGTGTCTTTGGAGGTTGTTGATCCTTTAAAAAGCCAAGCCTGTAACTGTGGCAGAAAAATCATCGAAGCAATGACGTATGTTTCTCTGTGTAATGGCAAAATGATTATATTATCTATCAAACATTCGTAACTATAGACAAGAAAAAGGGACAAAAGCCGCGGTATAGTCATGTCTATCCCAACAGCATTTCCACGGTCACCGTGGAAAGAATATGTTGAATATAAATATTCGTGCATCGAGTATCCCGTCCCTAGAGGATACCGCACCCCATCAACAAAATTTTGTTAAACTCTGACAGACGGCCAGACTCTAAATCGCTTATGCTATCGCTGGAACGATCATCGCTTGCTATCTCAAACAGATTCGAGGGAGGTATACGGAGAGTCGGGGAGGCGGTTATATACGGTTACTTCGATCAAGCTTCTTGAGCCCATCGTCGCTCCCGGAGGGGCATCTCTTCACCTGCCTGGGTCCGCGACCCGTCTACCTCCCGGCGCCATGCGTAGTACTCGCCGAGACGGACCTCGGCGTAGGATGCGTAATCGAAATCGATCTGTGAGATTTGGGCTTGGATAAGTGACCACACGCCCCTGTTTAGATTAGCATGTAGTATATGAAAAAGCAAGTAAGAAACAATACCAGTAGAGTCCGGGGATGCCTCGGAACCGGTCGACGTCTTCGTAGAGTCGGTCGACAATCTCCCCTTGCGATGACTCTGGGATACCCTTGTGGTAGCTGTAACTCTTGACATATTCGGTCAAGAACTCGCGTCGCACAGAACGGGTGGGGAGCATGTTGTAGTCGCAGTCATATCCGCCCCATTCGGCAAAGTGGTTGACGATGTCGAAGGCGGCAGGTGAGGGGGTGGCATATTCGTAGTCGATGAAGTTGACAACGGCCGCTTCGTCTTCCGAAGAGGCGCTTTCGGGCAACACGATGACGTTCGCGCAAAGAAGGTCACAGTGAGAGAAAACCAACTAGTGTGAGGTTAAATAGTCGTTCCGTATAACAGGGACTAGTGCTACGTACTCCACCATCGCCTAGGCCTTTTCCATCGTCTAGCTCGCTGACAACCCGCTCCAGCTCCTTTTGCAGACTAAGTCTCCGTTGGCGCTGCTCCTCCGTGGTCGTGGGCAGAGCAAGGATCCATTTCTGGAGCACACTCCACATGCTCGGCCCAGGCTGCTTTGGGGTGATCACGGAGATGTCCTCGTGCTTCAACTTCTGGCAGTGTGCCGTGGCCTCATCTACATGTTGCATCAGGGTCACGTCCTCGGCGGGCATTAGCGGTGCGGCAGCTCCCTTGATGGGCAACACCGCATGCCACTGCGCAAGTCTCCTGGCCACACCACGCCAGACGGCAGGCGTGGCAAGGTCCTCCGCGCTGGCTGGGCGGCCACGAAGGAACCGGTACAGGAGACCATTGTTGAAGCGCGCCAGGAGAGGAGGGGCTAATCCATGGCTGGCAAGAAGAGCATGAGAGCTCGTTTCTCCTATAGGTAGAAGTATCTACTCAGCAAGTGTCGCAATGGGCAGAGAGGAGGGGCAAGTAGTGACCCCGGGTGGCATACTTTCGCGGTCTATGAGGATTTCTGTGTGGTTACCGTACGCTCGCATCAGTACTGCTTCTTGGTCTATCTGCTCCTCGGTCAAGCCGGGCTTGCGATTGATGATTTTAAGAAGCTGGAGCCACGTTAGTCCCATAGGTAGGCGGTGTTGCCTCTTACAGCGAGCACCGACGAAGAGAACATTGCGAGGAACACACAGTATTGGTGATGCCATCCGTGAACCGGACAAACTCGATCTTGTTGTCCGGTCCCTCCCAGTGTGGGTTGAGTGTCAAGATGAGCCTCAGCGCGGAGGCATGAGAGTCGGCATGATTGTATGATAGGGGAATGTGACGGAAGGGCTTGCGGTCTTCTGCATGCATTATGGCGGTTGTGGGAGAATCCAAGGGGTTGAGAGGAGGGAAAGAAAAAAAATGGCGGTGATCGAACAATACGCGACAGTCGACCAGGGTCTAGCCGTTCTAGAACTCTTCCACGCAAAGTCAGCCACACGATTCAAGCGGGTTGCTAGTTATTGGCATGATAAGGCATAGCCTTGAATAAAGCACACATATAGAACAAGGGTACCCACGTACCTACTAAAAGTGATAGACAGAACAGGAGATTTTGCTTTTCCCGTGTGGTCCGTGAGCCGTCCGAAAAGGGGTGATTACGAGTACAAATTGGCCGGCAATTGATACTCTCAGAGACAGGCGCAAGAGAAATGACGAAGAGGAAGAGAACAGGAGAGGAGGAGGAGAAGATGTCGCCGCTGGTCTCGTGCCAGCGACTCACTGATTGGAAGGCGGCGGCGGGCCCTGAACCCCTCCTTTTCCGCCTTCTGAGGATTGCACCGCAACCAACCAACTGGCTGGCCATCCGTTGAAATGACGCCAGTGTTACCCCTCCGCTGAATAAGGCATGAAGACTCGTGAGGAAGCTTAGAGGGCTGATATTGGGTTCTGGCACAGCAGGTCATCAGCATCGCTATATTGATACTGGCTGTTATGCTGGCGGCATCAGGGGTCAGGGGTGTTATTGAGCGTATGATAGCAGCGTATTGATGGATACAGTACAGAACAATACGCAACATAGATAAGATTATGGTAGAGAAGTAGGAGGACCTTAGGTGTAACAAAGAGACAAAATTGAGTATATAATAGAGTACGTAGTAGCAGCTACTAAGTAGCCAGCTAGTACAATATGCCTACTTCTCATATCTCATCTACATCATTGACTCAACATCGAAGAAACATATCTCTATACTCTGTACATTGCTTAAAAGCCTCAATGATCTCCCTACAAACCTATTCCATTGCATCCTCTGCAAGAAACAATCTAACCTCACAAACTCACATACTACAAGCCATCCACACTACAAAGTAAACATCAATATACTTCCACCATCAAATACCCCGTACCAAACAACCCAACACCATCATCAATACAACATAAAATACACAGCACACCTCCACCCCACCTCCCTCACCGATCCCTATCCCATCCCAAACTAAATCACATGTGATTCCCCTCAACAACCACCCATTCACCACGTGACCACATAAGCCCCAGCCCTACCCCCTCCCACCTCGTCACCCACTAGCCCCTAGCGTCCCCACCCTCCAACCCCTACATAAACCCCCCCCTATCCGCGCCGCCCCCCCCTTCGCCCTCCTTTTTTTTCTTTTCTTTTCTTCATCATCAGTAGCGGTTTACTTTTACCTTCAAGTAATTTAGTAAATCTTACCGGGGCTCCGTCACCGTACGGCTCGCTGAGGGTTATCTTGTGTGGGATTTTTTCTCTATGGGTTTCTCCTCCGTTCCCAGCCTTGCAGAGCAGTTTTCGTCTTCCTTTTTCCCTTACAATTCATGGCTTGGCTAGGGTTTTTTGTTCGAAAGGATAAAATCCCCATGCGCTTGAGCTGTGGAGGAGGCGGTACATTACATTCCTCTTTTAAAAACTTTGTTCTTTATGTTGAATGGGTTTTGAGAGAGGATTATATAGCATTTCGTAGATGGGTGTTGGCTTTTTTAGTTTGCTGTATACATATTCCTGTCGTTAAAAGTGACATTGGGGTGTGTATATATGCCAGCGGTGAAGTTGGGTTCTTGGGAATCCGTATGTCACGTGGCTTTAGCTTAAACGAAGGCTTGTGGTTGTAGCTTATGGCATACGCATATGGGCAGGATTATTGTCTATGCTGGAGTTGCGGTACTGCTACGCAGTCTGTCTCATCAACTGGATTCATAAGACTGCCCTTGATTGCACCAAGTGTGATTGATTGTGTCAGTGCACCTTACTACATCGGGTAACGTAATCGGACAACGAAGCGGCGCGACAACAAGCCGGCGCAGCGATCCCCAATGCTTCAAACAAGCCACCATTCTGCCTACCATATTGCAACGATCGCTTCAAATTAAAGCAATTAAATGCTATATAAATAACTTATATTCAAGCAAACTAGGCGTTGACTTTATCTGGATATTTGAGACAATTATAGCCTTCCTTATTATAGTTACTGCAGCGTGGTGGCCGGCATTAAGTATATTTTATTATCTGTATAATCTTAATATTCTTTTTCTGAGCAATATAATATATAGTAAAGCCATCTAATATACTTTCTTCTTATAGAAAGTGTTTCAAGGCCTTCTTCTTATTCTTTTTATATTAATCTATTATACAGAGTTAATCCAATTCCTGTTAAAGTAATACAGCATTCTATATTACTATTTCTATACCTTTATAGACCTTTTCAAGTACTTGATTAATAATAAATAAAGATAATCCAGCTTTCTGTAATATTTCAATCTCTGCTTTTTAATAATTCAGTTAATAAAGAGTCAAAGACATTTTACTGAGATATATAAATTAATTAGATAATAATATTAAAGATAGTAGAGGTATTTGATTTAAATCTTTAAGATATTAAAATATTCTTTAAAAATTATATAAAGAAAGCCCTATTACAGCAAAATCTTATTTTATATTTACTGTGTTAAATACTTTTGAATATATCTTTTTAAAATAATATAAAAAGTTTTCTTTCTATATATAGTAGATACCTTGATCAGCTATATCTTTAATTTAACAGCTGTACAGGGTCTTTAACAGTGTAAAATAAGTAATATTAAGTAATTAAAGTTTATAGAAAGAATAAGATAATATATATAAAAAAATAATTAATCTTTCTTTGTAATATTAGTCAAATTCAATAGTTGAATGGCTTCCATGGCCATCAAGGATAAGAAGACAATACTGGCCTATTATTTTTAAAATTATATAAATATCAAAGTATTAAAACCAGTTAAATATAAGTTTATTATTTATCTATTTATTATTATTAACACTGATTTACTAATTATTAGAAATAGCTTTAAACCACTTCTCTTATTATATCTTATCTATAAAAATAATCTGTAAAGATAGTACACTCCCTCCAGTACTGATTATAATAATTACAGTAATCCATTCACGATTTCCAGGTTATATAAATCTTGTATTTATTTAATAGGATTCAGTACTGCAGATAATCTTTACAGTTAAAGCTATTTCCATTTAAAAACCCGTTTCATTTATATTATAAGTATCGTGTTCAAGAATGCTATATTTTTATATAATATTCTATATTAATCTGAACTATTAACTTATGACTTCGACATCCTTGCATTTTGTATATTAATAATCAAAATATTGAGTATATTTAGACTTCAATTCAGCCTGGTGACGTTGAACAAATTGATTAACCCAGTATTTGCTAATAAAAATATTATTTTTTGACTTTAATTTTAATGCCAACATGATCTCTGCAAGATATTATACTTTGGCAATAATAAGCAGATAATCTCATGAATCTAATTTAAGAATCCTGTACTTTAATATTAATTTATTATTATTAGATAGCTTTCTTAAATTTGCCTTTATTTCAGTGCAAGATTTAACCCCATTTAAACAATCTTTCAAAGTGCTTATCTTAATATTAAATACTGCGGCACACGCCTTCTTGGTAATAAATTAACTGTGATTAAAGGTCTCACAGGCAAGTGCTAGCTTTCTATCTTGAGAAAGACCCTCCATGCGTTTGAATAGCATCAATTTTAACTAAATTAAGCAAGGTTGAATATCGCGTGTTGTGTGGAGGTTCGAAGCAGTAAGGGCGTGCCGGCTCGTTGTCACGCCACTTTGTTGTCCGATTACGTTACTGTATGCTGCTTATTAAGGTTGATTTCATTCAATGCTTCCGGATAAGATAAGCACTTTCTCAATGCGGTCATCACTTTTATTTCATATCTCATACCAACTATACTCCAGCCCAGCCCTCCCTCACCATTATAAAACGTATATATCTAAAAGGCATCTGCTACTACACCCGTCCAGCATTTCCAATCTGGATTCTCTCTCCCGACCACTTATCATCGCGACGCAACACCGGCCAGCTCGTCCCGTCGGCCTTGACCAGCGTCAGCTCCAACTTGGTGCCCAGCACACGGAACTTGGACTGCTCGGGATCAATGGGCGCAAACAACTCATACGAATCCGTGTAGCGCTTGTTATCCGTCGTAGGGAGGTCCAGCTCGATCGACGTGGCCTTGAACTCGACCTTGGCGGTGTCTTTGTTGATCTTCTTCAGGTAGAGCGAGACGTTCACGGAGGAGGCGGTTTGGTAGAAGTCGTTCCTATACATCATCCATCATAAATTAGTATACTTCCACTCCGTAGCAAACACCCGCAGCTATAGAGGGGATAGAACTCACCTCACAGACTCGACCTTCTCCTCACCCGCCGGCTTGCCCTTCCCCACAAACAGATGCTTCTTCTTCTCCGAACAGCCCTGAATCTTCAAGAACTCATCAAACTCCAGCACCCGCTTCTTGCAGCACGACCAGCCCTTGCTTCCCTCGTGGAAGATCGGCTGGCCCGGGTGGTACACGCACTTCTCCTCGTCGCGCGAGACGTTCGCATCGTAGCCTGCGTTACAACCGCGACGACGGCAGGTCGCATTCGCGGGGATGGCTAGCTCCGGGTCATCAGACTCGGGTTCTTCAGGCACGGGGGTGGGTGCGTTGGAGGGAGGAGGGATAGCGGGGGAGTTGACGGGGCGGGGAGGAGCGGCGGCGGCGGCGCTGGGGACGGGAGTAGCGGCCGGTGATGGTACTTCAGCGGCGGGTTTGGGAGGTTCGACGGGGGTGTCGTCGACGGTGGAGTGTTTGCCTGTGGTGCAGGGAGGGATGGCGAGGAATTCGTCAAAGGTGAGGACGCGGGGTTTGCAGCATTTCCAGCCTGCGGGGTGATTCAGTTAGTATGTTGAATGCGATCATGTGTAAGTAGACAGATGAGTGGAACTGAGTCAGGAAGAAGATCAGATTGACGGGTGGATCAACTAAACTATCCCCAAGGTCCCCCATGGAAGTCCTCTGTTAAGTACCTTTCTGTCCTTCGTGGAACACCGGCGGGCCAGGGTGATAGACGCAGGGCTCGTCGGCGTCGGTGAATTCCTTCCCGCAGCCCTTGTGGACACACTTGGAGGCCATGCTGGGGGAAATGGGGTGGAAGCGACTGAAATGAGAGGAAGCAGAGCTGAGTAAGAGAGAGACCGACGGTTTAACGGTATCTCCTGGGGAAGAGATATGAGTCTATTGGGGGGGAAAAAGATCGATCGTCGCAAACATCGAAGGTCGAAGAACCGCCGCTGAGGTTCGGCCCAAACGGGCTTAGCCGGGGGGAGAGCTCGAAGGTTCCAGTCATTCAATCCATTCTTGCTCTTCCCCGCGATTCCATCTACAAGTTCTATACTCTTAATTGGTTTACTTCAACTTTGACTTCCAATTATCATCTGGATTTACCGATTGTACAGCAACATGCTCCCCACCGCCGCCCGTCTCGCCGCTGCTCGCGTCACTCTCTTCACCCGCGCCAATTGCGGCCTCTGCGACACCGCCAAACTCACCGTCACTAAGCTGCACAAGCGTCGTCCCTTCGACTACACCGAGTTGGATATCCAGCTCCCCAGCAACAAGCCCTGGAAGGATGTCTACGATTTTGATGTTCCCGTGCTACACGTCCAGTCGGTCCAGAGTGACGCGTCGTTGTCGGATCCGAAGAAGCTGTTTCATCGGTGGACGGAGCAGGAGATGGAGACATTGATCGACGAGGCGGAGAAGAAGCAGTAGCTGGAGACAGCTGTCTAAGGTTGTGTATATATACTGTAAATATGCATGTATTATGAGTTCTATCTTGATATTCGGGTTTCCCTTGGTCGCAGCGTATTCCATACGTAGGGAAGTCGGCAGGGTCACCGCTTCCGCAACCACGGAGATCTACTTAAGTCAATCTCAGTCAAAGTACTATAGGAGGAGCTCGTGGAAATGTTAATTCAAAGGAGTAAGTAACTACTAATAGCGGTGCTAATATGGGTTTGGTTCGGGGCTTAGTGCGAGAAATGGGCTGGATATATGCTCCCAGCTACGATATTATCTCGTGGTGTGTTATATATATGTTGGTACGAGATAGCCCGTCAAAACAGCGTTTTAGCCAAGAGTAGTAAGTACTACTAGGCCATAAAAATATATTGCAGTGGCTGCCAAGCAGCAGCTGAGGGGTGACTTGAATGTTACTGACTATAACATAAAGTATGTAAATAGTAACATCAAACCGATTAACATAGTAGTATGTTCTACAGTATTTCGTCATATGTGAATTTCTAATCATAAATGCCATCAAAAAGAAAGGGTATCTATCTACATCACATACCATTTCCCACCAAATCAATCAACAAACTCTCAACCCAACCCAAGTTCCCCCGTTCACTCTGACCCTGACTTTGACTGTGACTCTGCCTACGCCCTCCCCCCGACGAATCTACAGCGCCACTCGTCCTCCCCACCAACCTCGTCCTCACCTCCCCATCCAAACCCGTCACCATCGCATCACTCACATCCCGCTGCAAAGCACCCGCCAAATTCTCAAGCGTGCTTCTCCCCAACCTCGCAAGACGAGTATACTCCCCGGCCCGGAACCCTTCATACTTCGTCAACAAGGAGATAACCCTCGTCCAGGCCCTCTTAAGCGGTGCCACGCCCGAACCCGAACTAGGACAGAGCCGCGCCGCCAGGATGACAATCCCACAGGCATACAAATACTCCACGTTCTCCCAGTAGGGCGAGCCTGCGCTGCGCCACGTATCGTCCGGACCGCCGTCGAGCAGCCCGTCCTCGGTTTCCTCGATCAAGTCGACGAGGTCTGCGGCGATGGCGGCGCATTTGAGGGAGGTGTCGCGGACGATGGTCACTAGTATTGGCGAGTTGATAGATGAAGAAGGATCAGTCTCTGACATGTGAGGGTGCTTGTTTGAGCGGCAGGGGCATTTGGCGGAGAGGGCGAGGCCAAGAGCTAAGAAAGGTCGGTAGAGTCGAAGGCGAAGATAGAGGTAGCGGGCGTGCAGGGTGTGGCGTTGTCGGCGGACTATGGGGTCGTCCGCTAGTTCGAAGGTCTCATCGGTGCGGAGAAATGAGGGTAGAGATGTTTGCCAGTCATAGAGAAGAGCGTCTGTTTTGAGAAATGGGGTGATGTCCAGGGCGAGGAGTTTCTTCGCGGCGCAGGTGTCTGGTCGGGTTCTTGCTTCGGATTCCCAGGCAGTGATGTCTTCAACGTGGGTGTAGAGTCTGGCGCATGCGATTAGGAACTCGATGACGGAGGGCCGGTCTCCGCTGAAGTTGGGTGTCCCGCCGGAGACGGTGTCGATGTAGTCGGTGTCTAGGTGTGTGGGGAGATGCACCTGGAGGGGGCTGTTGACTTGGGGCGGTAGGCCTAGCTGTAGTGCTAGCATTCGCTCCAGGATAGTTGCGCTATGCCAGAGCCTGCGGCCGAGTTCGCGCTGCTGTCTTTCCCGGCCGTTGCGGGCGGTTGTTTGGGACTGGACTCCTAGGGCTTGCATGGTGCGGATGGTGTAGCCGATCAGGGCCCAGGCTTGTTTGGATTTTCCTGTTGCGTTGAGGTACTGGCATTGCAAGAAGAGACATTGCACACGTACCCAAGGGGTGCTCTGCCAGTCTGGGCTGTTTGTCATTCTCTGGGCGTGGTTGAAGCGGGACTGCAGATAAGCTTCGTCTACTTGGCGGTATCTCAACCCAGAAAGACATAGAATCATCATGAATATGGCGTGAAAGCCACTCGACCCAGCGGTGAGGTCTTGCACATCGCCGACCTTTTCGCAGGCCGACTGAAAGTCTGACAGGTCGAAGATAGGCCAATTCACATAGTCGCGGGCCAAGTAGGTGGCGATCAGACTGTCCATCAGATCTGAGGGCAGTTGGGCTGGAGATTCGGCAATGGTAAAGTGAGGAACGCAGTCTGGCCCTGTATCTTGCAGCGAGAATATGCCATCTTCTATGGGGGCTTCAGTCTTGACGCGGCCTGTTCTTGCATCTACGGCCTGCTGCAGCCGGGTCAGGCGCGAGATGTGGGCATTGATTCCGGTACCCGGCGGGTTAGAAGGGTCGCTGTCATCTGAAGCGATAGAGTATACCTCCACCGAGTCATGTCGGTTTCGAACATGCCGGGTAGGAGAGGACTCATCCCGCCGACGCTTCCTCTGCGAGCGCGGTGCAACATTGAAAGTATTGCGTGGCAGGGTTTGCTGCCTCGGAGGAGAGAAAGAGCGGCTCTCATCATCCGAATGAGATATTTTGGCTTTTTTATGAGAGCTGCAGGATGTTAGTTGGTTCAAAGTTCATAATATACACGTGCAGACGTACGTGGCGGGAGGCATATCCTCGGGCCGGTAGGAACATTGTTCATCTAGTCCTCGTTTCTTGCATCCTCCGCAGGCTGGCTGGCATTAGCTCCACTTTACAATGGGTAGAGAGATAGAGAACAGACTAGGTTGAGACCTGTCACATCCCCGCCTTTTTGTGCGGCAGACGCAACAGGGAGTTGGGGGAAGGTTCATGGCGCCACCTGCGCGTTCGGGAGGCTACTTAGGAGATGAGTCTGTGTGATATAGCGGTCGCATGCATGCCCGATATACTGAGCAGATAATAATAAAGCGTTGAAATTAAATATGGTATATATTATAGTTTGAGAGTCAGAGATCCGCAACCTACAATGAGTGCCGCAGCCTCGTAACTGAAGGATGGGAAAATACAAAGGGAACTTCCCGCGGGCGCGTCCGTCAACTGGCGTCGCGCGTGGTCCGGGCTGCCTTGGTGCCTCTGAATATGAATCTAATCTCAACCTCAACCTGATTCCAACCCATACAAGTATAACATAATTAATTTGTTACTATTATTTGTCTGCTACTCCCAATACTAGCCAAGTTTCAATGCCATCCCATTTAACCATCACATCCATGGCTGCCCTCCTGAGGAGGGTCCACACACCCGTTATCACACAGCTTAGCATGGCCAACCTGGCCCGGATTCGTACAGTGGAAGAGGATGTTGGTCAAGTTTTGGTTCTCATATCCGGTGCCTTGGAGGGCGTCTGTCAGATCGGACTGAGAGAAGCCTGTACCAGTTTCATATTAGCATCAGCTAGTCAGATGGAGAAGAGATACTATATGACATGATAGTACATATAGTTGGAGAAGGTCTCACCCTTATCATTCAACAGTACATCCGAGCAGTAATCAAAGCTCGGGGTGCAGGTTTTATCGGCCAGAGATAGCCCAGTTAGGGTCAGGGTGAGGAGGGTGGCCCAGATGGTAGGTGGCTTCATTGTTATAGACTATTCTTGTATACCAATAGGATGATTCAGTAGTAGGAACGGGAAATAGGAAGAAAGGGTGAACATAGTGTAGCATGGATGCTGAATGAGTTTAAATATTCCTGTCTGAGCACATTCCTGGTGATGTCTGCGCTGCGGGGATTGGAATGTGGACGTTGCTTGGTATGTCTCGTTTCATCATGATTTGAGATGACACTGTAGTAGTAAGTTTGGGTAGCTATGGTGGTGAAGACCGAGTATGTATGTGGCTTCACCCATTGAGTTCTAGATCGGAGACTAGCATAGCACATCGCAGCGAGTCAGAAACCAGGGCCGGTCATCCTCGGTGATCGCGCAACGCTGTTTCCACTAATGGAGGAACCTCGGACATTGGGATACAGCGACACGCCATACCAGCAATGGCAACGGAGATCGACGGTGGCTGGTTGACATCCAATGCCTCATGTAGTGGGGTTTCAGCGTGGTATCGATGCACTGTACTAGTATAAGTGGAGGTATTTCCGTGCTTTCTATCGCTCCATCTTTAAGTGAGACTCGGGGTGGAGAATGACAAGGATGGTATACCCGGCTTCATTTTCCCTGTCAACCCAATCACTTCTGTCAGCACTCATGTTCTGGATAGGCAGAACTCAAGCTCGAATGCTGCCTTGGGGAAGGGTCTAATGCAGTGATTAGTTGCTTTTGCCGGGTTCTTTGTTCTCCTTCCTACCTATCACAACCTTGTCTCTTAAGTTCTCACTAGTTTACTGAACCCTGCAAGCCTTGTTAGGCAGAATGGAGACTAAACGCGTCTTATGGCCATGATTCGGGCTTTTGTTATGATGGGCGGTTCCCCTAAACTCACCGTGTCAGCTAAAAAAGAATCGTTCATCCAGTCTGTCAGTCAATCAGTCGCTCGTTACCATTTCACTCGTTTCCTGTTGAAATCCAAAGCTCTCCAACATGGAGAGGTCCGACAGCATTTCCCTGCCCAGCATCGAGGCCCAGCAAACTCACGGACAGGCCACTGACAAGAGCGAGACCAAAGACAGTAGTCAGAATGCAACCATTGCAGCTCCCCAATACCCTTCGGGGATCAGATACTTTCTTGCAGTTGCAACATTGTGTCTGGCAATCTTCCTCGTCACCTTGGTATGCTATCCTCAGCAGGGTACCACATATACTAACGTGCAAACCCTACATCTAGGACAGCACCATCATCGCCACAGCGACGCCCTACATCTCCGACGACTTCCACTCCCTCGGAGATGTCGGCTGGTACAGCAGCGTCTACACCATGGTCATCTGCACGACCCAGCTCCTCTTCGGCAAGCTCCTTGCCCGCTACTCCGTCCGCTGGATCTACAGTATCTCAATGCTGTTCTTCCTCGTAGGCTCCGCCGTCTGCGGCGCCGCGCCGAATTCGCACTCCCTCATCATCGGCCGCGCCATCGCCGGTGTAGGCTGCTCAGGGCTCCTCGTCGCTGCGTTCTCCCTGGTTCCCATCCTCGTCGCCCCAGCCAAACGCCCCATCATCCTCGGTCTCCTCTCAGGATCCCGCGGACTCGCCACGACATTCGGGCCTTTGATCGGAGGTGTCCTCACTGAGAAGGTATCCTGGCGGTGGAACTTCTACATCAACCTCCCCATAGGCGCCGTCATCCAAATCGCCTTCTTCTTCCTCGTCCATCCACCAAAACGAGACCACGAAGCCTTCACCTCCTGGACCGAGTTCCTCAAGACCCTCGACCTCTTCGGTCTCGTAGCTCTCCTCCCATCCATTGTCTGCCTCCTCCTCGCTCTACAATGGGGCGGTCTCAAATACGCCTGGCAAGACGCCCGAGTCATCGTCCTGCTAGTCCTCGCAGGCATCCTCGCCATCGCATTCATCAGCGTGGAGATATGGCAAGGCCCTAACGCCATGCTCCCTTCGAGGGTATTCACACAACGCACCGTCTCAGCAGCATCCTTCTTCGGCTTCTGCACCGTCAGCGCCATCTTCGTCCTCACCTACTACCTTCCCATGTACTTCACCCTCCCCTTCCCCTCCCCCCTTTCCCTCTCCATTACCCCTAACTGACCACCCCAACCAAACAAAAACCAGCTGGTTCCAAGGCGTCAAATCCGCAACCCCCATCCAATCCGGAATCTGGACCCTCCCATGGGTAATAACCAGCACGATCGTCTCCCTAGCCGGCGGGATCCTAATGTCCAAAGTCGGCCATCCGGACATATTCATGGGAATCGCCATAATTTTCGGCGCCGTGGGCTCAGGTCTCTTCACCACATTCACTGTCGACACGCCCATAGGGGAATGGATCGGATATCAGATCATCTTTGCCATATCGTCCAGTCTGTGTAGTGTCACCCCGTTGATGGTGGCGCAGCAGGCGCTTCCTCTGAAGGATATTCCGATTGGGTCGGGGATGGTCATGTTTTCGCAGACGGTGGGGGCGTATGTATCCTCCTTCCTTCCCTTCATCCCTTCATCCCCCTTTCCCTCTGGGATGGTTGTTGTTCTGGTACTGGTACTGATAAAGGCCATGTGTGCTTGGTGTAGGTCCATATTCGTCGCCGTCGCCCAAGCGCTCTTCACGAACGAGCTCAGTGCCGGGTTGAAAGGTACTGCTGTAGGTGATGGACTTGATGTGAGTGGGTTGTTGTCTGGGGGGATTTCGACTCTTACGGAGGGGTTATCTGGGGAAGCGAAGCGGGCGGTGTTGGTGGTGTTGAATGAGGCGTTGACGAGGTCGTGGCAGTTGGCTGTGGTGTTGGAGTGCGTGGCGGTGATTGGGGTGTTGGCGGTGGTGCAGGGGATGAGGATGAAGAGGGTTGGTACTAGTACTTCGTAGTAGGTGGGCATTAGCTGAGGCTTTGATTGTTGTTGAGGTGAGGTGCAGTGAGAGTGGAGAGGATGAGATCAGTGTGGTATGGTGGGGTTAGGTGAGGTTGTATAGGTAGTAGTATATCAGTACAGTATTGAAGTTGGATGATGGTGGATGATAGTACATGGCATCTACCCTTTCCTTCTAAAAGAAATACTATACTACTATATGAGGTGCGTAGACGTGAGTTGCTAGTACTTACCATATGACTTTAACCTACAGCAAGCACGTACTCCTAGTATATACGAATCTGAATACCACTGCACTATCGCACGGTGAAGATTATTATATATTGATTGGCATACTGCACTCGACAGGGCCAGTTGAGGCTGCTCCTATGTCCAGCCCATCCCATACCATTCCTATATCCGATCCATCCAACAGTCGTAAAGGCATGAAAAGAAAACAAAATGGGTGTCTCATCAGACTCCCCCCAGCAAGTGATGTACAACGAAACCAAATACAGTGTGAGCAAAAATCTGCAAAGAATCATAATAAGCCAGTCAGCCAGTCAATTCTATGACTGGAGTGAGGATGGATGGGTAGATGTGTTTAAAACCACATCACGCCCACCACTAGGCCGATCACTATCGCCATGCAGCTACCCCGGCGCATGTGCTCGGTCTCCTGCTGAAATCCCGCGACTTTGGACTGTCCGGCAGTCGGTGCGGTGCTGTTGGGGGAGAGAGCCGGTGGGGGCGGCGTGGCGCTTGGCGTGGATGCTGATTGACTGGCGTCGTTGTTGGCGTCGTCGCTATTATTCACGACCACTGCTTTCGGGGGTATAGGTTGTTCGCGGGGTGTGTGGTTATGTGGGACTGTTGGGTGAGAAGAGGTGGTGTGGTTGTCGTGTTGTGAGAGGTCGAAGTTGGGCTGGCGGGCTTGCCAAGCAGTCATGTTCTCCAGATACTCGCTCCCTGCGCGGCAGACCTGCTGCCATGAGGCACGGGACAACCCTAGCAACCATCGGGATACCTCAGCCACGCTGCTGGTGGCTGGTATCATGGAATTGCTGGTAGGCGAGACACCGAAAGGTCCGTCGTCGAGAGGAGTAGCCGGAGTGACCGAGGAATTGGCGAGCGCACTTAGTCGCGTAGGTAATTGCTCAATGGCATCACCCTCCGCTGCAAAGGTCGGAAGTAGCTGCGACTCATCCGGCTGCCTAATGACCATTGCCTTGAGAGCGCGGACTCCCCGAGTGAAAGCCGAGGATTCTCGGGCCGGAAATGCCAAAGGATCGGTATCGAAGACGGCAGCAGCCTCAAAAGAGCTCCGAGATGGCGCGTCCACCGCACAACGTCGCGGACGAGCTTTGCGCTCATGGAACCCCTGATAATATCCATCTAGAAGCCATGGCTTCCAGCCAGTCCCAGAGACCCGAGATCTTGTTCGAACATCGGCCCAGTTATCTTTTACCCGAGAGACATCTGCAGCAGCACCACCGTTAGCTTATCTGACTCAGCCAAACATATGGGGGAGAGAAAAAGGGGGAGGGGGGAAATAATAGGAGAAGAACTAAGGAATGCATACGTCGAACGTCATTGCGATAGCCAATGTACCCCAGGTGCACGTTATAAAAATCCCATTCCTTTGCGAGCGACGGCACCAAACTAAATAGCGAAAAGACCAAGAGAGCAAGAAATGGAATGGCCCCAGGTTTCTGAAGCCCCGACCTCATCATCCACAGTCAGCGACCGACGAAGGCCTGACTTTGGGTTTCCAATCCACGATCCTCGGAGAGAAAATAAAAAAGAGGTATTTCTAACAGCCGATGAGGATCCCGCGTGCTTGAGAGGCTTCCAGAACAAACAGCTTCATTGCCAGCGAGAAAATCAGAATTAAAGGAGAAAAAAAAAAGAAATGGAAATTGGAACAGAGATTCAACGTTCGGAGGGTTTATGCAAGTAAGTAAAGAAATATAGATGCGTCGCAGCCTCGTTCAGGGTCTTCTGACAGACGTGATTGCGCGCGCAGCCTTGGGGGGGGCAGTGACCTCGTTCGGGTGCGTTTCTTTTTTCAGGGTCTTGCGCTGGATCTGCGGTCCTTCGCTTCTGGGCGATGATGTCGATCAGGCGGTCGGACGGTCGGGAAGGGAAAGCAGGCGCGTCCTTTTTTGCACTCGAGCCCCCGGCAACGAAGAGCAGAACAACACAACTTAACTTAATGTTGGTGGTGGGGGAGGAGGAAATCGACGTGGAGGACGAAGAGGGGAATCTGATTTGCGCGCAAGATCAATGTAAAGAGATACTGCCGGATGCTGCAGGAGGCGATCCCCGTCGAATGACGTAAAAGACAGAACCCAAAGGGTCGCAATGGCTAAAAAGGTTTGTTTCTTGCTGGCGATGGATTGGCCTTGCAGGTGGTGCGCCAAGAAGGGTCGTCGTCGTAATCCACCCTCGTGTCGATGTCAATGAGAAAAATAAAAGTATCTATAGAAACAAAATGCCCGTTTGCGTGTTGACTTTTTGCCTCTTCACACTCCAAAGTTGCCCCCCTGCAGGCATCAGTCAATTCTATTTTCTCGTTTACACAACATGAAATATACATTCAGGAGTCAATGGGAAAACTGCTGCCTCGCCGGTAATTTATCTCGTCCTGCCCGGTATGGTATTTTACACCGGACCCTGGGTGGGGGGTTGCCTCAGGCGACAATGCGTTGGCCTCCACTGCAACATCAACAAGAGATCCATCGATCCATCCTGCCCCATAACCATTGGCTTGAGACTGACAATTGTTGCGACTAGTAGTATCAAGTGTAGGTCCATTATCCAGACAAGCACACACAAGTGGGGTGCATGACATCAACAACATCCTTTGTATCGCACAGATCTATCTATCTACACCCATCACAACTGGCTGGCTTGCCGTTCCCACTTGAGCTTTTCATCGCGCTTAGTCGCTCATACTGACCACAGCTCCTCGCGAGCTAATGCCCAATTCCAGTCTATCGCCGCAACTCCGTACAGAGATAATACAGACAGGTACAAGTCAAGTAAAAGTTACAGGCCAAGCGCTCCATGCGCGACTCCTCCGTAGGTCCAAGAAGAAGCATATACAGGTTGTAAGCAAAAAGGCATCATATGGGATTCATCATGGTGGGGTCAGGCACAGCGGGTGACATGCCCTCGCTAGTCGTCGGCTTGGTCGCGCGCGCCGGAGAGGAGGCGCTTTTCGGCACTCGCGCTGCCGGCTTCTTCGACGTTGTCTGAGAGGACGGCGTTCGAGTGCCTTCACTACGCTCCTCCCGAGGCGTTCTCAAAGCCGTGGTGCTATTTCCAGCACTGCTTGCGTTCCTTCCCCGCTTCACCATCTTGCCCAAAATCCCCACGATCTCAGCCGCATCCTCGAAGCTCTCGTCGTCCATGCCCTCCTGCGCATTGTACACATCGGCAATGGCTTGCTTGGCCAACCGTCGACAGGCATGGGCGTCATGTAGGCAGTCGTAGAGGTAGGCAGCAAATTCCAGCTTGATGGACAAACGGAGAGGGTGCGAGCCCGGGAGGAATTGATCCGCCAAGAGTGCAGCATGATTGAAACAGGCGGTAGCTGTGGGGGTGTAGTCGAGTGCAGGGAGGAGAAACGAGGAGGTCGACTTGGGCGCTTGAACCGGCGCGAAGCCCGGGGGTGCCTGCGTAACCTTGCCTCGTGGCGCACCATCCGAGGCTGAACTGGGCTTCCCGGAAATCGTTATCGTGTCGGGCTTCAGCTGAAATGAAAATCGCGAATTGGAATCCTTGGATGGTGACTCCGCTTCGGCAACGCCATTGGAAAGAGGTGTACTACTCGGCAGACTGACGATACCCGGCGTGTGGACAGCAGGCTGATTCTGAAACAGGACGAATATATGATAAAAGGAGGCGCGCAGCTTGTAGGCTAGAATCTTGAGTTCCATGCATCCCTCAACCAGGGGCAGGACGAACTCCTCTAATATCAAAAGTCCCTCGCGGGAAAGCCAGATGATATGATAATAAAGATGAAGCGATTTAGTCTCTCGGGTGGGGTCTAGGCGTCGCAATCGTCGTGCACGGAGGAGTTTCTTCGATAACATAACAGACAACCCGAGAATCTTGTACAGCATCGCGGACAGAAACGGGTTCTCAAGGCCCGTCATGGCCGCAAAGTTGCCCAAGGCCTTCTGGTCCACTTCGGAGGAAGCCATCCACAAAGCAAGGGAGCCAGTTTCTATCACAGGGCAATCGAGTGCCAAGTTAGTCATATCCATGATGATCTGGTATATAACAGAACAAGTTTCGAACAAGTGTAACCGAACAACAACTTTGGAGGGGAGGACCGATCCCACAGCATCGGACCGTTTTAAGAATTCTCAGTCAGTGGTCACATCTTGCCCACCGCGCTCATATAAAAGATAGATGCATCGAAGTGAAACATGCAAAGCGCCAAGAGATCGGGAGCCTTACCTCGGACGCGCGCGCAAACGGTTCTTAGAATTGGATCAGCCGTCGCATGCACCAAAGCTTCCCATGCTCGTGCTGGCGCCCAAAGCTCGATATGTTTGGGTATTAAGTTGCCGGTTCCGCAATTGAAATCCTCAATTGCAAGCGCAGTCCTTCGTTGAATGCGCCCGTCGCAAAATCAGACTCGTCGTATCTGTGGCTTGTCCGCGCCTCTCAGTGCCGCTTCCGAAAAGGACTGAATAGCCGATCAGTTGTACATGCAGAGACTCCTAGTGACGAAAGCACAAAGCCGCCAATTTCAACTGGAAAGCAAAAGCAAGTATGTTACATATGTCAGCAATTAGTGGTTTTTAATTGGAGAATCAGCGAGGATCAGATCGCGGGTGTACTCCGTAGTGCAATCAGACTTAAATAGCAAATCGTTAACCCGAAAAGGAAACCACCCAGATCAATTCTTCGAGATGAGAACTCTCCTTAGCCTGCTGTCAGCAGCCCTGTATGCAAGGCTATGCTAGCAGAAGAATGTGATAGTCAAGCGGGCGTGAGAGCGCAAAAGGGTATAGGTGGGATTTAGGAACGCAAGGCACGGGGAAGGGGGCATTCGAAACAACAAAGGGCAAGGAACTGGTCGTTGTGAAATAGGAGGAAGTCTTGATGCATCGTGTGCAACTAGGCGAGGTAAGGCGTTAGTCTGTGCTTCTTGCCAGCGATGGGCGGGCACCGCCCACGAGTTTGGGGCCGGAAGTGATGGCAGCTATCTCAAGGCCTGAAGTCGCTATCCCATGAAACGAAGCCTGCGTGGGTGAGGCAACAGAAGATATAACCACAAAAAGTCAATGTTCTGAAAGTCAATTCTCGTCCCAATTGAAGTTGGGCACTCGGTCGCAGCTGCGCGAGAATGTGGGATTAGAGCGATAATGAATGGATGTGCGGAGCAATAATGATGCAAGGGCAGGTTATCTGCCCCGTTGATATTTCCCTGGCCACAGCCAAGTGGATGAAGCCACGGCAGTGCGGAGGTATAATGCGGTGCGAATCAATGCGGCAAAGCTCCACTATACATATAGGGCGAATGGACCCCCGCTTCGGTAGAAAGAGAGAGTACTCCGTGAAATACGATCAATTAGAACGCCGTTGGCTTGTTTTATTAGTTCCTGCTGTGCCCGTCAATTTTCATTCTGCCCTCGCCGCCGTTCCAAGCGGAGATGAGACATCGGGCACCAATTGCAGCCACGGTGAGGGACGTTATTTCCTTGGTGGCCACCATCACCGAGTTGAAAAAAGGAATTACGAAGGGCAATGTGGCATGTTGGATGATGGTCCCGTCCCTAAGACTTAGTAGGCATTAGGCGGAAGGACAGCGCATCAGCTAGCTTGATACGTGTCAGAGCCCAACTGCTGATTTCACCTGCCGTGCAGCTTTTGATCCAGCCGGGAGGATGAGATAGGAATAGCACAGTGGATCAGCTGTCGCCAGCCTCTTCTTTTTTGGCAGCCAAAAGTCACACATGGCCTGCGAGCAGTGTTGCAGAAGGAAGGCCCAGCGCGGGTCCAAACCCATCTTTCTATGCATGAGCGAGCCGCCACTGAGCCGGGTCGCTCAACTAAGCTGCAAGCGTGGAACTTCGGCGCCCGCGCGCTTCTTAGCGTTACTATGGTTGACCCCGGTAATTTTGTTAGTATGGTGGAGAGGTGCAGGGGGTTGAATCCTTCTAATTCTGCCGTTTGTATGATTATTAATACTTTGTATGGCCATCTTCCGCGTTGATCACTGCCTGGTACCTTACAGATATACTGTCAATCAAATTATTTAAGAATGCCTCTGGTAAAGTATCCCACGCAGCTCGTACAACCTTATATAGTTAATTATATAACAACTGCTCATCCTCGGGGTAGTATTACTTAATCTAGTCTTTAATCCAGTTCCAAACAGCTTCAATTAGATTGAGATCTGGTGAGAATGCTGGCCAAGTAATTAAAAAAATCCTATGCTTATTAAACTCTTGAATAATGGTTCTACTTATATGACTAGGAGTATTATCTTATATTAATTAAAGTTATTGTCCGTTGCATTCAACCAAGTATATGAAACCATTAATAATAAAAAGAATATATTTAGTATAGTTTTCAGTATTAATACTTCCTTATTCTTTCTCCCAAAAGAGACATGGTCCTTTAAAATTATTATAGAAAGAGGCCCAAAACATCCAACCACGCTTGCGTGGAAGGTTTGTATGAAGACAGGTTTCATCAAGTTCTTCACCAGACTTGTAAATCATATAGATTTGTTTATAAAAGCCTGAGATTATCCAGATTTTATCAGTCCAGAGTATTTAATTCCATTAATCCCATATTTAATATAGGTGTTCAAAGGCCCAGGCTAACCTTGCTTGTTTATTAACTGGCGAAAGAGGTAGTTTTCGAAGTGCTTTATAACATGTATAGCCTCGTTTTTTTAAAGAACGTGTTAAGGCTGTTACTTTAATAGAAAGATTAAACTCTTTAATAATATAATAATATAGCAGCTGACGCGTATGCTTTGAACTTAATATCTATTATATAATATAATTAACTTCTTTATCTGAGAACTTTGATATATTACCTTTTGCTTTATAAGGTATAGCTTGTTGATTTTGATATGTATATTAAACTTAGTAATAGCTAATCTGTAGCTGATTGACTATTTGTTGATAGGTAAAACCAGCATCATGAAAAGTAAGAACACAGATATGATTATTATAAGATAAGCATTTTGAATTTGCTTTTGGAGAGGTAGGTTCAGGTGTGGAAGGTATCTTTAAAATACCAAGAATTAGTAAAATACATCATTATTTTCATGTTCATGAGCTTTAATTTCAACCCGGGGCTAACTATATTAGGCAAGCGGTGTTAGTTAGAAGACTCACCGCTGGAAGGATTCAACCCCCTGCACCTCTCCACAATACTAACAAAATTACCGGGGTCAACCATAGTAGGCTTTGCATGAGGATGGCGGCAGCGCTGGATGATGACAGTTGGCGGCCGTCTGCCAGCGTGGCATCGGAAGCATCTGTGCGTCTTCCATGGGGCTGTGTGGAAGGTTGGCCCCTCGATCGATTTCGATTACAACCGGAGATGAAAGGAGATGATATCAGTGGCTCTGTCACACCACAAGCACAGGACTGATTGATCAGTTAGATGGGGGTGGATGGATGAATGATGACCGACAGCCTGCATCTGCAACAGTTTGCCGCGGCAGTTCCCCACCGCCTCTTCCGAAGGACAAATGAGTGGAAGCAATGAGCAGCGATCTATTTCAAAAAGTGATCCTTAAAACTGAAGCACTATATACATTGCAGCAACACAGATAAGCTAAGAGCAAGGGAAACGTCGCAGCCATAACGTCGTATACCTCCTGTCCATATCCTCGGTAAACAGGTACCATTATTCTATATCGTCAAGTTCGTCACGGTCCAAAGTTCCGACAAAAGCTCTCTCCAAGAATGCTCTCCATGTTCGATTCTTAGGCTTCTTATGCTTCTTTTTCTTCTTCTTCTCGACTTCTACTTCGTCTCCGATATCGTCGACGGTACCAGAAGCATTCGTGTCGAGTTCTTCGGCGGTCGCATCCTCAATCCAGATATCGTTTTTACCCGCCTTGTTCTTGGCAATTCGCTTCGCCAGCTTGAAGAAGCTCCGCACGGTGAGATCCTCCATCTTGTAGATCTTGTCATTTCGGGTATCGTATTCGACCTCGAACGTAAAGACATCTGCGAGCTTCAGCTCACGAGCGCCATTGTCTTGGTCAGAGTCAGAGCATTCGTCTGCCGACGTTTGGTGGCGTTGCGCCATCTGACGGTTGATCTCGGTCAGATTGGCATAGTATTGAGTGTACCCAAGCCAGGTCAATGCCTGGTTAGAGTATGCCGGCCCCGGAGGCGCAGTCGGCGATGGGGGCTTGGGAACCTTGTCCTTGGACTTTTTCTTCTTGTCGGCCGAAAGTCCATCCTCATTGTGGACCACGTTCGCCATACCCAGGTTGTTGTAGGTAGGGGCGTCGGCCGACATCTTGGTCTCTAAGCCACTAATGTTATACTCGACTACCCGCAGCGTAGGGAAGAAGTTTGGCACCACACTCGGTGACACTAACGACACACTGTACCTCTCGGCCCAGGGACCGCCAATCTTTTTGAGAAACTTCTTCTGCTTCTTCTTGGGGTTTGAGCTCTTTGAGCTCGTCGCAGCTTCCTGTTCCTCTTCGAACCATCCATCTGCCAGAAAGCTGCCTTTCGGCATACCATCAGGTGGAGACGGTAGACTAGACCAGTCTTTCCTGAGACTGGATAGATAGTCATAACGAGACTGGATGGAGATCTCTCCTGAGTCGTCGTAAAGATCGGACGAGACAATGGACTCGCTGCTGGCAGTAATGTCCACTTTGCGACTGTCCTGCAGCATGAAATGATCGATATTCATGTGCCCGTATGCACTGCCGACGACGACGTCACGGAATCTGTTCACGTATAGTGTATACTTTTGCCAGCATGTTTCATCCCAGCTGCGCTTGCTACCAGATCTTGCCGGAGGAACATGACCTATCAAGATGGCTTTCATGTCACGTGTCCGCAGCATCTCCAGTTGGATCCGAAGCCACTCCATGTGCTCATAGCCAGGCTCCGATTTCGCATCGCATCCGTCGACAGCAGAATTGGAGTCGAAGAAGTATAAAGTGTTCAAGCTGATAACTGCGAGCTCATTGGGGATCACCTCCGAGACGAACCAGCCGCCTTCGACAAAACTATGACGTTGATGCTCGGGGATAAACTTGTGCCAGACTTCGCGGTACTTCTTCGTCCACCGATTCGGACCGGTCTTCATGATATTATGCGGCATTACATCGTTATTCCCAAAAGTCGGAACAATGGGGATGGTGTCCTTCCTGCCAAAGACCTCGGCGAATTTGTCCACCATGAACTGATTCAAGCGGACGATCTCATCTGCCGTGCGGGGATTCCTCTCATCATTGTCATGCCGTGCAGAGTCACCGGTCCAGATGACAAAGTCAATATTGTCTTTAAGGTTGTTTTCGATCCAGCGAAATGTTTCGTTAATAAGGGCAATGGGCGAGTCGCATTCAGTCTCTTCGGCGCCATAGTACCCGGCGGAGCCCTCACCTCCGTGGCAGCTCTTTTCGTCGGATGTTCCGGGCTCGTAGAGGGGGTCTGGATGGAGATCTGGAAATGGTCAGCCTGTCCTTCCTCTCCTTTTGCCTCTGACACCGTGGTAGTTTTCAGGAAGGAAGAGGTACCTGTTATGTGCAGAAAGCGGCCTGAAAGTGTTCGGAAGGACTTCGCATCGGCATTTGGTGGCTCGAGCTGGAGCACATCTTGGAGACCGTCACCTAGAGGTTGCTGCTCCACAACCGGGAAGGCAGACACATAGGTTCCTAGCAGCGAGAGCGCTGAAAGGAGACGAGTCGGAACCATTGGGAAGACTGTGAGTAGGAGGCGAAACCCCGACGATGCGGGAGACCAGTTAACCTTGATCAATAGAGTCAGACATGAAGCACACAGTGAGCACGCGACACACTATGTGAAAAAGCCAAAACGAAGCTAAAAACAAGACCAAAAAATAGCGATACCGGGGGTAATTTACATGAGATGGAGGATTTGTTGAACTGGATCGTCGACGACGTCACAGCTACCGCCCCGATACGGAAAAGCGCGAGGTAGCGTGTGGACCCACTTTGTTTTGTTTGGAACCCGACCAGCAGAGCAGAGGAACACGGGTGAATTGGCTGGCATTTAAATATTAGCCCTGCGAGAGACACGCATTGCTTTGGACATCTGACTCCGGAGTATCAGTCGGACTCGATTCAACAGGTCAGCTGTTGAGCATACCAGAAATACAAATCAGCGCTGTATGGAGTAGCAAAGATGCGCCGCAGTGTCAGTCAAGGTCCTCCCCCTAATGTAAGGTACTCGCAGCCTGTACCGTCGTCTAAACGGCCCACGTGCCTGAAACCGACAATCAGATTGTCGGAGCGTCTTAGTCATCGACTGCATTTTGGGGGTTCTCTTTTCTCTCTTTTCACCCCCAAGGTTGACGCGCTGGCCGCACTGTCATCCGAGCCAGATCCAACTATAGTCGTGATAGGCTGTGTGGTCCTGATCTACTGGATAGTGGAGGACACTATGCTGCCTCTGTACATATCTTCGGGTGGTCTCTGGTTTATGATTAGGTGATTGAAAGTGATACGGTTTGGTAACTAGAAAGTCAGCTTTGACATACTAATAGAGTCATCTGGTAGACAAACAGGGGTCTGTAAGGAGACGTTGCAGTTGGCTAGAGCACCTGATGGTGTGCCATCGGCCCACAAGAGCAGACTTGGAGGAGTAGTAGTAGCACGAAGGTAAATGAGGAAAGCTTTGTAGTTCAGAAATAATAATATTGATCGAGAGGTATTAGCCAGATCTGGCAACCCAGTCGAAGCATGTGACTTTGAGCTAAGTAGCTTTCCTAAGCTTTCTAGTAAATAGTCGTAGTGTGTACCTAATACTCACTCTTCCGTCCTCTATAGTTCTACACAGTAAATAAACTGCCCGAAGTACCTTAACCCGCGGCGATCAGAATCACTCCGGGTATCACCGTTCGGGGGATCGCCATAGGCTGGCCGTTGCTTGTGGAACATGTGTCCCTGACCCCTCACCGAGGAGCGGGGCTTAACGTCCGGAATTTATCAGCTGCTCGACTTCTTCCAGCAAGCACCAGAGCATATTCCAGATTGACACAGCTTTGGAACATCGTCGCATCACTCAACTAGAACCAAACATGTCCGAATTCCCTACCCTTCAGCCCGCCTTCACCTTCAAGGTACAATCTCCGATACAGGACCTCGCCTGCTTACACACAGCTAACATTGTCCTCCGTGCAGGTCACAATCGATGCTCCGCTAGGCGTCGGTAAGTCCTAAAGATACATACCAAGTAGACAAGGGCCATAGCTCCAGGAACCTGGCTAATTCCTTCAAGGCAGCGCCTCTCGGCAGAACAGCCTGCAGGTCGTCGTAAGCAGCCACCCAATCTTCCCTTCCTTCCCACAAGACCATCCCACTAACCACCTAGCATGACTGAAGCCCATGACCGGCGGCACTGTCCAGAGTGCGCCTGGATTCTCTCCTGCTCTTGACGCCGAGTTCGTCGGTGTTGGCAATGACTACATTCATGCGGATGCCGACGGCAAGCACCTGCGTCTGGATGCGCATGGTGTTATCAAGTACGTTTCTCCTTTGTTGAAGATATACGCTCCACTTCTAACTACTGAATTACAGGCCTAAGGATGGCGATGATGTACGTAACCGGCTCTTTAACTCCATAGAGAGTAACAACTAACGCCGGTCATCAACTATAGCTCATCTACCTGAACTACACTGGTGTCTGCACCCTGCTTCCCGAAGTGCAGGCCGTCTTCGCCGGAGCTGCTCCTGATGGCTCGACTCCGTTCAACAGTGCTTGTAAGTATCTTACTCACCCAAAACGACAGCAGAGGCTGATGCTAGTATTCCAGTCACGCACATTACCTTCGAGGTGAGATATACCACATTCCAGCCCGGATAACGAACACACCCAATCTAACAAACCACAACAACACAGACTGGCAGCGAACGCTACAAGGAGCTCGAGAACCGCGTCTTCATTGCCCAGGGACGCTTCAACATCGAAAAGGGCAAGCCCACTGTGGTCGAGTACCGCGTCAGCCAGGTTGTCCAGGGCTAAATCAGCAAATACTGTATAGCAGTGAATAACAATCAGACGACAAGACCTGCCAAATAGATGCAAGGCAATCAAATCTTCATAACATTGACATAAAACCCCCATTCATATAATCACACTCCACCCATACCACTTATCCCTTGTGTAACATATTCACATTTCACCCACCCCCCAACAACGGCCTCCTCTCATCCTCCCCACCATCACCTCCATCACCACCAACCCTCCTTCCCCCTCCCGCCCCCTCCTCATCCTCTCCTCCAAGTATAGTACCACCCCCATCCCTCCCCCTCCTACCACCCCACCGCGGAAACACCACAGCCCCCCAATTGCCATTCCCATCCCCATCCCCATTCCCAAATACAACCGGTAACCCCTTCCACCCACCCCTCCTCCGTACCCCTTTCACAACCCAAACCCCCAAAGCAATCAACCCTAGCACAGCCAACGTACCCAGCACCCCCACCACGCCCGTAAGAAACGTAATCGTGCTCACATGGCACCCGAAGGGTATTGCGCGGAGTTCCCACCGCTCTTTGGACCCGAGCGGGCAGATCTGCGATGAGTGCAGCGGGGAGAGGATGGGTAGGAGGGATGGGTTGGGGACGCAGGTTGAGGACTGCATTTTTGTTTGTAAGTGGTTCAGTTTGGGCGAAGAGAATGAATAATGATGGACTTACCACTGCGCACCAACTACAGGGAATATCGCCTTTCAGGCAGGTATTGCATGATTGTCGTCGCCAGCAGAGGTAGAAGAGGGGGTCGGTTGTTTGAGAGGTGAAGGTGGAGGTGTTTGTTATCTGGTCCATTTGATATTTAGGTGTTGGTTTGTAGGATGGATGGATGGATGGATGGATGGATTGGTTACGTTGAACATGAAAGAGATTGTTAGTATTTCTTATCGCATGATGGAATGTGGTCCTGTCGTCAGGATTGTTTTGTTTGGGTGATGGGCTCGTGCGGGGTTTTTTTTGGTTCCTGGGGTGGTACCACGTTGGTAGTACTACTACTAGTACTACTATCTATTTAGTAAGAGGCCCGTTCGGAGGATCCCTGCTTTGTTGCTGCTACTACTACTACTAGTAATGCAGACTGTTGTTTCGCTTGTGATAAGGCTATCGGGTGTTTGTTGTGGGAATGGGGCTAAAGGGATCTAATGCTGCGCTGGTAGACTTTTGGCTGTATACATGCTTCGTACATTTAGATAGTGTATCCCAAGGTAATAAGAATCATCCAGATGATTTTATTTGTTCAATTGGGTTGGAAAAAAAGGGGAAAAGTTCCATAATTTCAGTTATAAGAAGAATGTCAAGGGTATAATGTAATGCCCTTTACAATTATCACGCTCGTAAGATAATCACTCTAGACAACACGCTTGACCTGTTCATCGTTCAGTTGTTAGTCTTAATTCAGTTACAAGCAGAAGATGGAATTGACTAACCTCGAAGAATCTCTTGAGCCACCACACCTGGAAAATACCCTCTCCGATCAGCACAGCCAGCTGGAAGATACTCCACCACTTCACACGGGCGTTGGTGCTCTCGGCCGTGTTCCGGTGAACCCGCTCTCTCACAACAATGTACGACTGCTCATCCTTAACTTGTGCCAGGGCCTCAGACAGCTTGCGGACTGTGATGAGGAATCAATAGCGGTTAGCTCATACGGTCGCCGAAGACTTGTATAAACGATATCGGGGTGTTGCAGTCCTACCTTCCGCCTCCAAGGGATCCTGTGCCAATTCCGATTCGGGGACGTAGACAATTCCGTGAACGTTGAAAGAGACTTCCTTGGAGTTCGAGGCCCATCCTTCGTTGCTGAAGCAGTAGACGTATTTACCGTCCGAGTGCGCGTTGAACGAGTAATCCTCCGATGAGATGGCGTGCTTGTAGTATTGACGGTTACCAAGGGGGTCCTCGACCTATTGATTGCAATCACAAGTTAGTGACTGCATCCTTTAAAAGTAGTTTTGTGTCCTTGCAAGCTCGATTGTATATCAAAACATCCCAAACGGTATCCGCGCGGAGATTGACGGCCAGTAAACTAGTCAGGGAACCTACCCAGAAGTCGATCTCCAGGTTGCCACTGCCTCCGAATTCCCGGTCGCCGACCTGGAAGGAGACAGTCATCTTGTCATCCTTGTGCAAGGACTCGTGGAAGCATTCGCGGGAGTGAGCCCGGAGCTGGATGTTGTGTGCGGTCACGGTGGTGAACCACGCCAGCGCCGTGATCAGGAGGGTCGTTGCGGAGAATCGCATGATGGGTAGGGTAATTCGATTTTGATGACTCCAAATCCGGTAATAGGTTGGTGGAGTTCTCCTCGAAAAAGATCCAGGTGAGGTGGTGGTGGTCGGGCTTGCTAGATGTGCTTCGACTCCCGACGGGCAAGGTGGTCTCTGTGCTGCGCTGGGAATTCTGGACGCTCGGACCACCACCAGATCACCCGGCACTAACTGGACTAGTCCTGGCAGGGTTCGGAGTCTAGAAGGGCGCGATGCTTCTTTTTACTACTTCCACTCTCTCTTATCAACCATATCTAGAGTTCAATCGTTCCTTTTTGTGTTGATCTGATAAATTTGAATTTAAGAGGTCAAAGGTGGCGTAAGGGTACACCACAAACATTCTGGGGGCTAATTGGCCTCTACAGACATACATACATTGCTTCAGTGCGTTCGTGAGCACTGAGACATAGAGACATCATAAAAAAAGCCTGAGGAATCATGAACATTTCATGGCCAGGTGTACGAAGCATACTCACGTTCTCCCTCATTGGGTTGTCTCTTGCTTTTATTAAGTGACTGCCTCCTAAAGATCTCAAATGGACACCCTTTCGGTCTTTAAATCTTTGACAAAGCACAGTGAGCCAACATTGACTGCGCCGGATCTCTCGAGTTTGCTTACTCGTATATAGTACCCGAAACCGACGACTAAATTAGAATGAGCTCACATGTCCCAGCTTGGGGTACCCGCAGGTTCCTCTAGAGTAATAGCAAGATACTGCCTTAACACGGATGAAGGGAGGACAATCAAGTAAGCGGTCTAGATCAAGACAATCCGCGGGATTCAACCTTGGTAATAAGGGCGCCACTGCGATGAGTAAGGAAGCTTCTCTTTGGTAACAATGATGGATCAGGAAGTGAGAGAAAGAGTTATTGCGGGATTTTTCTTAGCAGCAACAATAATGGTCTTTCACCCACCTGTTCTTGAGTGAACCGTGGCTCATATTTCCAGGGTTCATGGCCGGTGTACGCGTTATAGGGCCCTCTCAGTGACATCATCTGTGGTTTGAACGCCTGGTGATTGATTGATGGTGGCCAAGAGATGATCTCTCATTAATTTATTGATGGAAGTGTGGAGTGATTCGAGAAGACGAGATCGTCGGACATGGGAAGTTCGCCTCACATTATTATAGTTGGGGGATGAAACCGGAACAGAGGCCAATCTCGCAGAATTGAAGTGGGGAGCTTTATTCTCTTTGCTTCTTCCTAATGATACTAGTGTTTCGATTTTGAGTGTAGTGATGCCAAGTACGGAGTACAAGTCGGCGAGATAGTTATTCTGGGATGTTAATGACTGTGTGATCAGTAATATTTCTGCAGTGAATGGAGCAAAGAAGAACAAGCAGAAGTGACTTGGGGCGGTAATGGGCTGGAGAGGCCCAAGGGTCCAGACCCTGGCGCCTGCAGTGGAGATCTTAGCCGGAGACCCCGGAATGGCAGGGGGTGGATAAAGGACCCCATCAACATCCAGTGTATCTCGATTATTCCACTGGGCGCCTTCTGGCTAACGTCCCTGGCTTAGCCACTGTAGATGGACCCTTCAAGAGTCTGGTCACTCCAACAATGGTCTCTTCCGGCGATTGAATCCCTGGCTGTGAAGCGCCGGTTCCCTTCCTCCCTCAATTGACTTTTCGGAGTTGTCCCACTGGGAGGCGAGTCTAGCTATTCATTCATTGTCTCGTAGGCCAACGCCGGGCTCCCCATTGGGAGGTACCCTGTACTGTACAAGTAAGTATGACTCCACAGTCTTTCTGAGTTCTGACGTTTTGCCGTGCAACTCTTTCTATTCCTACTTAAATCCTGCCAATCCTTCCTCTCTTGTTCTTTCTATTTCGGTTGCTTGCATATAGCCAGGAACGAGCCATCCTTTTACAGAGCTTCCCCTTTTCTTCAATCTCCTTCGAAAGTAGCCAAAACTCAGGTTCTTGACTTCCCACGCTCTCTTCTTATACCCTGTCCTTCCCTAATCAGCTGCTCTTCTTGCTGCTTCATCAACCGGTATACATCGCTTGATATTCGTCACTCACTGAAACAAACACGCCTTTCAGCATGCGTGTCTCTACTAGCTTGCTTCCTGCCCTTTTGGCAGCAATCCCTGCTGTGTCTGCTAGTGGCACCCTGGGTCTCGCCATAGGTGATAAGAATAGTGATTCCAGCTGCAAATCTACGAGTGATTACGAAGCCGACTTTGATGCTCTCAAAAGTGTGACGACTATAGTCCGCACATACTCGGCCAGTGACTGCAATCTTGCTCAGAATATCGTCCCAGCTGCGAAGGCCAAGGGATTCAAGGTCGTTTTGGGAGTCTGGTAAGGCATTATCATCGATAAAACCATTTACATTGACTCCGTGAAGCTAACTTCTGGTGTGTTTTAGGGCGGATTACGACCAGTCTTTTGACCAGGACTTCAACGCCCTGAAGCAGGTCGTCCCTGGAAATGAAGATGTTGTGTCTGCCATTACCGTGGGCTCTGAGGTTCTCTACCGCGGAAGTCTCACTGCGCAGGCACTTCTGAGCAAAATCCAACAAGTGCAGAACCAGTTTCCCTCGGTCGCCGTTGGCACCGTTGACAGCTGGAACAAATTCGCGGATGGCACAGCTGATCCTATCATCCAAGGAGGTGTCACTTACCTGTAAGCCTTCCTTTCCCGATCATGTCGTATTGCGAGTCTCAGTTAACGATGATGATTTAGTTTGGCCAATGGATTCGCCTACTGGCAGGATGTAGACATCAACAGTGCTCCCGCTACCTACTTCTATGACATATCGGAGGCCGAGAAGCATATCAAGCAGGTTGCCGGAACTAATGCGGGCAATATCCGCTTTGGAAATGGAGAAACTGGTTGGCCCACCGGTAAGATAAATAAACAACATTCCCCAACGCCCAAGCAGAGGTGCAGACGAACTGATCAAATGCTTTTCCTAGACGGTGGATCCGATTATGGTGCTGCTAAAGCTGGTACTCAGAATGCTGCGCAGTATTACAAATCAGCGGTATGCCCCATGCTGCGAAATGGAACCGACGTCTTCTATTTCGAGGCCTTCGACGAGGAGTGGAAGCCCAACAGCATTGGTGACAATGGCCAGTCCATGGACGAGAAACACTGGGGACTTTTCACCGCCGACCGCCAGCTCAAGTTCGACGTGACCTGTTGAATGCCGAACTAGGAATCAGTCTGATGCTGCACCTTCAAAAGTCTGACGCACAGTGACTAGATCTGTTACATATGTATCTACTATTTCTCGGACAGCCTTTGCTGTACTGTATGTATATGTATTGAATTGACGTTAAACATCGAGGCAAGTCTCCCATATCTTGGGATGATTTCTCTAGTAGTATCTGATTCGGCTTGTAAATATCATCTACAGAGCTACGGGAGTGGCAGTTGGATCCGCAACTAGACATCATGCAGTAGTCAGATACAGGGAAGGAAGATGCGAGGGCTCCCAGAATTGATACGGACAGACATATAAAGAGACGCTCTAGATAGAAGATTTTGAAGTGGTAGCTGTCGCGCATGGGGCTCTAAAGTGTCATGGCAGTCTGACAACCGATGACATGGCTGGGCACAACTGGAAGATCCCAAATTGGGAAAGTAGTTAGCTAAGTCACGGGCAACCGAGGGAACCGTGGTTCGGTTGAAGTAGCGTTGTTTTACCCCTGAATGCAGACACGAACCACAGGAACCCACGCGTCAACCAAGTGATTGTTATCTACTTGGGGAAGGGAAGCACTGGTTCAGGGGGGGAACAAGAATGGAGAATGCACAAATCTGGGGGGTGACATCCGGTCGGGTATCCATCTAATATCTTTATTGTAAAGGGCTGGGGAGCGAGAGCAGCGAGGAAGATCCATCAACCTGCAGGCTGCCAGACAGAGAGGGTCTTTCCAGACGGATACTGTTTTGTTCCCAAACTCAAGGACTCCCCCCCGCCTTGCAGAGCATAGAGTTGATACCCACTGACTCGCATGAGTTTGGGTAAGGTTGGTACCTACAGACAGCCGGGCACCACGTACGTAGATGGCGGTCAGAGATGAAGATCGGGTTGAGCTGGCCAGCTTGAGGCACTATGCCAGGCTAAGGACCACCACTATCCCCAATTCATGCTTAACCGGACTCACTAGTCGTCCAACTAAGGCCAAAACTTGAAGGTCGTGAGGCCAGAATCCGCTCCCAATGCGGATATTTGGTTACCATACCATTACTTCTTCCCCAACGGTCGGCCCTCGCAGCTCTCCACTGTCTGATTAGGTAGTTTAGCGTTAAGTTTTGTTATTTTCACGCGCCTGTGCAGCTCTGAAAGTCAAAAAAACGGACTTGCTTGCTGGCGGATCGTGACATGGCCCCAGATTGATTCGATCCAACTTGAAGGAAAGGGAAAAAAAAAAGTTGCTAAAAAGCAAAGAAAAAAATTCGTACAGGAAAAAATTAAGGTCCGCCTCTCAATTACTTACTCTCTGATTACCACCACCACCACCACTACTTTCATCCATTATCACTAGTCGCAACGCTTGATCCTTGTCTTCTTCCAACTTCAATCCAGTTGTCCTTTGTGGATGCGCCATGCCCAAGTTCCTCGCATACCTTAGGTATCTGTGATCTGTTGTTCATCCATTCGCTTTTCTCTCTCAATTTCAATCTCTCTCACCCTCTCTCTTTCTGTCTCTGTCCTTGACCGTCACCCGCAAGCCGCGGATGTCTGTTTGGGGATCTTCTTTCGGAACTACCCACCGCCCCTGAAGATTATTCCTCCCCCTCCACCTTCCCTCCCCCCCAAATTCCACGGTGTTATAGGTACCACTCACTGGTCGCATTTTCTCCCCCAATCGCGCTCTCGTCCAAGCGTGTGATTTGTCTCGTCCCTCCCCCTCCTTTCGTGTGTCGATCACAGCTCATCGGCGAGGTGGATTCGGTCTCAGCGCTTTGATTTCCATGCTTCAACATTCTGGACGATAAGGGGAGCAGCAAGCAAGTGCTTGCTGCAGGAGTCGAAACGGAAGGTGTGTCTGCCTGTCGAAGTGTTACCTTGGCTGCATCAATCCCACATTTTCCAATTCATCTTCCCTCCCCATCCACCTCCCTATGGCGGTGTCTCCTGCCAGTCATCTTCCTCGTTCCCGTCACACCTCCAATCTACTAGTCCAGAGGCTAATCGTATCTCGATGCTGTTGTACGTTTAGATCTAGGTCCCTCCGCATCTTCCGCCAACTCGGCGCTTTCGCCGTCGCCGCAGCACCCTACAGATCCGTCCGTCCTCCGTGACGATTCCCTGCTGACGGTGCCATTGACTTCCATTTCCGCAACGCCAGGAGCGTCGAGTCTCTCGGCCGCTGGATCCCCTGGCCGGTCGAGCTCCCCCCGGGGCCGCAGCGTCACCCCGAATCCCCCGAATACTATTCCTACTTTCTCTACATACCGGGCCGCCTGGGATTCGTCAACCTCGCCGGAAAACCGAAGAGCGGAAAGTAGTATCTACTATACCACCGCCTGGGGCTCACCGTATGCTGCACCGAGTCCTCGAAGACTGTCGTGGTCACTGAGTCAAGCCGGACCTGTCGACCGTGATTCCGGAAATAGCTCTCCGGTATCGATGCACAGTGGCATCCGTAACGGTTCCGAATCGAACAATCCCGAGCTCTTAAGACCGTCTGCCCGGGACAGCTCAGCGAGACAACTGTACAGCGGCAATTCCAGCCGGTCTCCAGCCCGAGACATTTTTGGTAGGAAAGGTGGGAAGTCGATAAAGGACTTTACGCAAGATTGGATTAATCAATACCTCACCGGTCAACCCAGAACCGAACGAAGCAATTGGTTGAGCGACGATTCGGGTAGTGAGGCACCTTCGTTTATTACGGCACAAAACTATTTCGCAGAGGACGCATCGGACGATTGGCTTGGCCTGGAACAAGATCCTCGCGACGAGGACCTCCTGAAGACTCCCACCCTCGCTGACTTCGTAAATCGAAGAGCAGCTCGCCGGGAAGGCAGTCTCCCACGCCAACGGACTAGAGATTATCTTCATAAGCGAGCAGATACACTTCGACAGGAGGACTTTTGGGGTTTCGCCTACGATAAAGACCCTCAGCCGATCACAATGGAATCAACAGAAGCACAGTCCCTTGTGGAACAGGGGCCCAACAAGGCACTTCCTACGATAGAAAAACCGCTCCCTCCCACCCCGACAGACCCTTCCCTTACGGACCGACTTGATACTCCTACCGAGCCGAAAGCCGTGAAAAGCCCAGCGCTCGACAGGAACAGCCAAACGCCGACACAACGAGTAAGAAAGAAGATTGTTTGGCGTGGGAAAGCATGCTTTATCTCGCTGCCATGTGACGACAAAAGAGGCACGGAGGAGTCTGGATACCGTTTGTTGACGGTGGAAGATGTCAAACAACGGTTGAGAGACTGGGAAGAACAGGGATACGACACCCGTGGGTTCAGCGTCGGATCGGAGGATGTGTTGGATACTGAGTTGGGTGGCCTCAGTCGTCCGCTTTTCCCAGACCCGGCAGAGATCCAGGAGGAAAGACAGGACGGAAGGTATGGGGTCAGCATACCTGACAAAGCAGAGTGGGATGCATATGTTGCGTATCTTCAGGAAGAGAAATTGCGTGCCCTGGGTGTGTTTTTGGATGAACCCAAACCCTCAATATCCCCGGCCTCCGCTACTATGAGCCAGATGGGCCCCTTTCCCGGTCTTGTATCGTCGCCACCGATCCCGACAGGGTCAGCAGCTAGCAATCCTCTATCTTTGTCTCATCATTTCTCTCCGCAGCTGGGCCAGCCAGCAAACCCCGCCGGTCTGGGGACTCTGGCTTCCCCGGCTTCGCAGTTCAGCATTCAGACGCCATTCCTTGGGGTCGACCAAAACAACCTACTTCCTGGATACCCTATGCAATTTCAGCCTACTCCTCCTGCTCAGGGCTCGCTCACTCCCCAGAGTTTCTTCAATGCGCGGCAAGCAGGTCCCGCCGCATCCATTCCTGGAACGCTTCCTCACTTGGGCTCGATTTTGTCTCCCGTGTCACCATTGAACGAGCAGGGTGCCTTCCACCCTGGCTTGAACGAACAGCCAGGCCTACCGAAGGAGGCTTACGGTGGTCATGATCTGCAGGATCATGTCACTGAAGGCCAGCTGCTACGTCCCATTCGCACCCCAACGGAGGGACCTGATCACTTCCACGCCTCTACTGTTGAGATCGCGCAGCCTACCCCTCGTGGCCACGACCGTGGTCATAATCTGAGCGAAACGCTACAGAAGGGCCTGGACAGAATCCCGCCTAGCTATCATCTGGAAGAGACTATTGACCGACAGCTTGATGAAGGTGATCGTGAGCCGGCTCTTCACAATTTCGATGGTTCTGAGCTCCTGCAATCTCGTTGGGCTTTCCCAGGGGCGGACGCTCTTGCATCCCAACAGTATCCTCAGCACATGCACCAGTTCTATGGCGGCGATTATGCAGCAGGTAACGTCCATGATGGCTCGGATATCGATACAAACCCGAGCCTTTCTGGGACGCCTCAGCGACATGGTCCACTTGCGAACAACATACCGTGGCATGAGCCGAAGCCCAGTGCTGGTTCATATACCGGCGGACACCGTTCCAAGCTTTCGTCCTCTACTTTCAACGTCGATGCGAAGGAGTTCAACCCAACAGCCTCCATCCCATCACAGCAATTCCCCTTTCAAGAAAACGCCTTCCAACCCTCGGCTGTTGGAAATCCCATGTTCACATTTGGCTCTGTGCCCAGCTTCAATCCCTCCGCTAGCGCTTTCAATCTTACCGCACCCCCCTTCACACCCAGTACTGCTGCCAACGATACAACCACACAAGACACTGGCTCCAGCGAGTTTAAATTTTCGACCGCCTCTCTCAATGTCGCGGCTCCTGCTTTCAACCCTACTGGAAGTGGCTTCACTACGAAGTCTGAGGAAACTGCAAATGGCAGGACCAAAATATTTGACGATGTTGATGTCTCGGAGGCATCAAAAGCCTCCAAGAAGTCCAAGGCCATTCCCATCGTGCGGCCGGATGAGACCGCGGAGGACAAGAGCAGTAAAGAGGAGGCTGAAAACGACAACGGCCGCCCAGTCCGCACTGACCGCCATAAGCGTGCACGTCGCGGTGATGAAGCATCGGATGGAGAGGCCCAGTTCAGCATGTCGCACGCATTGGCAGAGTCTGGTAACGTTCAACAATCGCAAGTGTCCAGCGCACACGGTGTGCCCGCTGAAGGCAAAGAAAACGTACAGCCAGAGGGTGGAGACAACAATGAAGCAACTCAAAAGCCTGTCTCGATCCAGGACGACAAGTTCGCCGAAAGGAAAGATACCCCCATCAGTGAAGCGTCGACCTGGACACCATTTGAGAAGAAGAATGAGAGTACGGAAGCAGTCCAGGAGTCAGGACCGGCTACCGACATACAGCCTAAGTCAGAGTCGGTATCCGCCGAAGGAGGAAATGCTGGCAACAAAGAGCAGGAAGGGCCTACCGAAGATAACCAGAAGCACGCTTTCCTGTCACCCACTGCGAAGCCCTTCCAGTTCAAAGCCTCTGTTCCCGAATATGTGCCGGCTACTGCTGGGGAGCCGACACCTGCCCCCAAGCCGGTGGATGATGGGAAGAGCGATGCCACCTCCAAAGCTCCGGTTTCACCTAAGCGTGAGCCTGTGCTATCTGAAGCCCATGCTGATGAGGCTGAGGACTCGCCTGACGATGAGGAGCTTAATGCTATCATGGAGCAGTTGAATGATGATTCGGATGTTGGAATTGAACGTCTGAGCACGCCTCAACCTCGTGATCGCATTCCCGAGTCTGCCCTGCATCCGTCTAAAGAAAAGCGACACGCTCCTGCCGACATCAGGAGCGAAGCTCCTAGCCCGAGCCCTGGACGTGGCCTGATGGCCAACACCTTGAATGTACCTAAGCTCGACTTCGATGCTCAATCTCAGTTCTCTGTCTCCCCCTCCAAGGGAGTCGGTTCTGGCATTCCTTCTCCTGTGCGGCATCTGGTCAACCAGAATGATCACATCAGTGACTGGGACGATGTGATCTCTTCTGGTGAGGATGAGAAGCTGGCAAATCGGAGCAGATTCTTTGACCGTCGGATCAACGACCTCGTCGGCTCTGCCATCGATGAACGACTAACGCCGCTTGAGCGTGCGCTTGGTGTTATCCAAGAGTCTGTCATGTCAATCGCACCCGGCCCTCGCACCAAGTTGGAGTGGAGCGCATCTGTTGAGGGTGACAATAGCGACGCTGATGATGAGGATGATGTATATGAGAATGCCTCATACAGTACCAGGTCATACCTCCGCCAGAAGGAGAAACTTGACAAGCTAAAGACTGTCTTCCTGGAGGCACTCGCATCTCGCGATAGTGAGCAAGAGAAAGACCAAACAATTTCCGAGCTCGTACAGCTGCGTGAAAGCGTCTCTGCTCTTCAGGCTTTGACCGTACAGAAGCTGTCGCAAGATCCTGTGGACGAGATGAGAACAATGATCCAAGACATGATCTCAAACCAACTGAACCAGCAGAACTCGCGACCCTCTGAAGCAGAGGAGATCGGTGCTGAAAGCCTTATGCTCCAGATTGATGGTCTCAAGAATATGCTCAGGCTCTCTGATGAGCGGGCCGATCAGGAGTACAAGCTTCGGCGAGAAGCTATGGACTCTGTTGCGGAACTCCAGCGGCTTCTGAAGGTCGCCGAGGAGGATGCTGCACGCCATAGTGAAGCTGCCGAGGACGCCGAGTCCCGCTTGCTTCACTTCAAGGCTGAGAAGATTCCTTATTTCGAGAACATCCAGCATAAGGCCGACTCTCTTGAGAAAGAGCAAGAGACACTCCAGTTCACTCTTGCTGAGCTCTCCTCCAAGAACATCGCACTTCAGGGCACCCTGGATGAGTACCGCGTTTCGAGCGACAACTGGAAACGGGATAGCGAGGAGTCTAGAGCTGAACTTGAGCAGGTCAAAGCGGATAACAAGGAACTACGGGGTACAATTGGCCAGTTGAAGACGCGCTTGGAGGATGGCTTGAGTATCCGACACAATCTCGGTGAGAAGCTTGATCGTCTGCAGGATGAGATGGTAACCGTGACTCGTGACGTTACCCGTGACCAGGCTTCTTGGCGCAGACGCGAGGAGGAGTTGAACGCCAAATACAATGAGCTTCGTGCAGCCTATGGCCGGGAGGTGAAGCTCCGTGAAAAGCTCGAGGAGGATATTAATGAGCTTGAAGCACAGGAGCGCGAGGCAGCCAAGTTGAAGTTCATCTTTGGCCAGTCTCAGCAGGAGAATGCCAGGCTTGAAGAGCTCGTCGCAAACCTGCGACTCGAAAACCATGATCTAGAGCTTAAGGCGGCTCGCTTTGAGCGGGAGTTCCATGAGGCTCGTGAGAGCAGTCGCGTTGAGATTCAACGTACCAGGAACTCGCTAGAGTCGGATCTGGATGCTGCTAACAGCCAGGTTAACATTGTCCGTGCTGAGTTGGAAACACAAATCCTTCGCCTCCAGAGTCAAATGGACAACGTCAGAATGGAAAGTGACACTGCCCGGGAGCGCTACGAGATGCTGTTGGAAGAAGCCAACGAAACCAGGGCCAACAATTTGGCTGCTGCTGTCCAAGCTAAGGAACTGGCGGTGGAAGAACAACGGCAGACGCACGAACGGGTGCTCAATGACCTTCGGGAACGCCACGCGCGTGCGCTGCACAATGCTTCTGAGGATCGACAGCGCACGGAATCCCATCTGCTCGACCGCCTGGCTTTGTCCGATGACAAGGTGAAGCACTTGGAGGATCGGGTTCATCATCTCGAGGAGAGGCTCGAGATTGCACAGTCCGCTGCACGTGCTGCTGCCGAGGCCGCTCAATCTGCCAAGGCAGCGCCTGCTATGGCACCTGCGCACTCGAACTCGCCTTCATTGGCATTCCGTGAGGGATCCACTATGCCTGAGAAGATCTCGCCTCAAGCTTTGAGGGAGTCAATCTTGGTACTTCAGGATCAGTTGCAGCAGCGTGAAACTCGCATCGAAGAGCTGGAACAAGAAGTGGCTGCCGTTGACAAGGACGCTCCAAACAAGATCAAAGACAAGGACACAGAAATCAATTGGCTGCGTGAACTCCTGGGTGTTCGCATTGATGACCTCCAGGACATCATCACCACTGTGTCGCAACCTTCCTTCGACCGCAATGCTGTCCGCGATGCCGCCATTCGTTTGAAGGCCAATTTGCAGATGCAGCAACAGGAGAGAGAAAGAATCCATTCCGGACACAGTTTCCCTAGCCTCTCCTCCTTGGCAGAATTAACTGCGTCACCACGGAATCTTCCTCTCGCAGCTGCAGCGGCATGGGGCAGTTGGCGTAAGGGAAGAGATACTTCCAATTCACATGTTTCCGAACAGACGCCGTCGAAGTCCGGAAATGCAAGCTCCTTCTTGTCAGGCCTTTTGACTCCTCCGGCCTCCAGTGTTCGACAAGCTTCACCCCAAGCCGTTGGTACTTCCGCGACGATGGGTTCCAGGCGTCCATCGGCGAGTCGGCCTCTGAGGAATTACGACACGACGCCCAAGGCCGCTCCAGCTCGTGGAAGCAGGATGCGAGAGCCGCCGAGTACGCCCCCGTTGCTCCGTAGGTCAAGTTACGACCACGATGCGGAGCCTGCTGATTATGCCCACGACTCCTTTGGAGAGGACGCGGAAAGCACGGCCGACGGTTTAGTCTCGGAATCCCCTCGTGACACGGCAGACGGGCCATTTGGACCGCAAATACAAGCATAAACTGTCTATACATCATTTTCTCATTCATGTCCATAGACATTTGAATTTTCGGTTGTCTCAATACGGAGATGACTGATACTGTTACATTATGATGCATTTCCCCCTCTTCTACCTACATCGACCTCTCTTTTGATATTGCATACTTCGTGCCAGTTGACATGTTCATTTGCTGATTGTTTGGTTTGAGCAAGTTTATTGATATTTCCCCCTCCCCATACTTTTGCTCAACGGCAGTGGATTTATGATATTCTTTCCTTCGTTAATATACCATACCACCATTCTTCCTGCGTCCTACTGGATACCACACCTGTTGAAATGTACTTTTGCCGCAAATCTGTACACAAGTTTCTGCATTTTTTGCTATTTTATTTTATTTTATTTTTTTTTTTTTCCTGTCTAAATACTTCCAACGTGTCACTCGTTTGTGGTTCCTTGCATGCATCCGCAGGCTCTATTATTATCTCATAACGGTGTCTGTGTGTGTGTGGTTTCCCTTCTGGGAGATAGATGCATGCACCATTTGCAGGAGGACCCAGACCCTTACTTCACTTACATCATCATCATTCTTTTTTTTTTACCCCCTTGCTGTTGGCTACCATTCTAGTCAACGGTGTATCATGCAGATACCCTTCTTATTCTATTCACTTCTGAATTGGACATGTCTAATAGTATATATGCTTATCTTTTCTTTTCTATTCCATCTTTATACTCCACATTACACACAACGTGTTCTTAGATAGACGCATGCATGCATAAATACATGCATAATACATAATCCCATCAGTTCTAACCTCTAAAATTACTAGTAAACTCTCACTTCCACACATAATCAACCGGTAGATAGATAGATACGGAAGTAATCAATAAATCCTCCACTCCAAAACATCCCTCCCCGCTAACGCCATCACCTCATAATACCTACCACCATCACCATTTCCATCACCAACGACCTTACTAACTCTCAACTCATCCACATCCATAGATACATTATCCAACAAGAACGACCAAGGCGGGATAATACTCTCCTCCTCCAATGGAAGACAAATAGAAGAACGCTGCTGTTTCTCTTGCCGTTGGTCTGCGTTCATAGCAGAAGAAGCATTGGTCTTAGTGTGGCTGGTATACACGGACCCACACTCCTCAATGCAGTATACGTATATCCTCCCTCTATTTTCTTCCTCGAGGGAAGGGTCAGGTTCGTAGATAGCTAGGAGCTTATTGTCCGGGGAGATGGAAAGGAGAGGCGATTTGGAGGATGCGGTGGGGAGGTTGAGGGGGTTCCAGCGGGGGAATCCTGCTGTTGCTGTAGCATCTTTAGAGGATGGAGGTGTTTTGTTTGACTCGGTAGCTGGATCTGAGGTCGTGGTGTGGTGATGTTGGCGGGAAGGGAGGAGACGGGTGATGGTTACTTGTTGAGAGGTGGGAGGGGAAGAGGAGATGGCGATGTGGCCGATGCAGTAGGCGGATGTGGGGCCTGATTGGAGGGATGCGGTGAAGTAGTGCGATGATGTTGGTGATGATGGTGGCTGTGATAATGGGGGTTGGGGTATTGTTGTGGTTGGTTTGTAAGAAGATGGGAGGAGGCGTAAGCCTCGAAGGACGACTTTTTCCTCGCCTGCGCCTAGAGTCACGGCCATGGAGGCGGAGTCGAGGTGGATGTGGCGGATATTTTCGCGCCAATATTGGAGGGGGGTGAGAGTTTGAGTGTGATGATGGTGTTGGAGGGCGGAGGGATTACCCATGTAGCGGACGCGGTTCGGTTGGAAGGCTGTTGTGTCTTGGTGGATTGCGATACGGAGGAGTGTGTCGTCGTCGGCGAATTCCAGGGAGTCGATGACTCCGTCGGTTTCTTCGTAGCCTGTGCTTGGGGAGGCTGCGTAGATGGCGTCGTGCTGGTCCAGAGTGTATTCTGCGGGGGAGGAAATGCCGTTGTCTTCGTTCCCTGAGAGGCTGTATATTTGGAGGGTCTTGCCTAGGCCGACGGCGAGGAGGTCGCCTTGGGAGGAGATGGCGATGCAGTGTTTGGCGTAGCGTGGATTGAGCGCCATGCAATTTCCTGCGCCGCCTCCGTCCATTAGGGCTCGGTAGACTGAGGTCCAGAGGGGGTAGAGTGTTGAGGCTCTAGAGTATTCCCAGGGAGAATGTTTGTTTGGTCGGGTGAAGATTGTGGCGCGTGCGCCTTTCAGAGTGGCCATTTTTTGACCATCTTGAGATGTTGCTAGTACTGTGGTAGGGGTGCAGTCTTCAGGTAGGGCACGTCTGGTGGAGGTTCTGTCGATGTGGGTCCGGTGGCCTAGTAGGTTCAGACAGGCGATTTGGCAGAAGTATGCATTCCATTCTTCGTTTGTGAGAGAATCGGCACGTGGGGGTATTGGCACGGGGAGTTCGGTGAGTGCGTTCCGAATTGTAGATGACATTGTCGCTGCTTTCCGCCATGAGCAGCATGCTGAGCGGGCAGCGACGTATGTCTCGATATCGACATGATCGAGGATGCAGAGGATGAGCTCGGTGGGGAGGTTCGCAGGCATGACTGAGTTGATTGCAGACATTGTGTATAGCTAACTCACATGTCTATCAGGTGATGGATGTCTGAAGACGGGAGACTGCGTAGTATGGCTAGGAAGCTAGTGGGAGGCCAGTTTTATACGGAAGAATGAGCGGCAACGAGGCAAGCTCCTGGCAGACCAGGCCCAGGGCCGGTCATACCGAATGGTGTGGATCGACATCCAGGGCTGTAAGGGTAACCAGCCTGCTCTTGTGTAACGTCAACATATGTCAGTCGACGAGAGAAGCAATTACTGGAGCAAACTAGTGCGCCATGTTGGTGGATGTGCTGGTGGTGTATACCGCATGTGTCAAGAGATGGTATGCGAGAAAGCCAATTATCGACTCGGCAATAGCCCCATAGGTTGAGACGGGCCGAGCGGAGCCAGGAAACCGAGATGGAATGCTGAACATTCCTTGCTCTCGAACAACCTTAAGGGCCGGCAATGACGGAGAGTAGCCCTGGATGCATCGCATCAAGTGGCGTGATGTGATGCCGGTCTTCCATCGAGTGATTCTCGGCGGTGGTTCTAACCGCAAAAAAAGGTACAGGTTGCACCAAATGAATATCCTGATTGATCTGCAGACTTTGTTTTTCCCGACTTCCTTTTCAACCCGCGGATAACTGGAGTTGACACCTGTGTCACATTCATCTAATCTTTCCGCTTAAGTCTCGTATACCTAGAGAAAGCCCTTTCTGTAGGGCCGGTGACAAATAATGTACAATATAGTAGTGAAATGCGCCGAGCGGAATGACCTAAAATCCCCAAAGCTTTAAGTGGAGAAAGAGGAATCTTCCACCGCGCAGTACAATGTACTCGACACGGTGGGCATCAACTGCCTATTGGCACCAACACTGTAAAAGGCGTCATCAACATCATTACTTGGGCTCCAGATCAGGCCTTGTGCTCATGACACCGGAAAATGCTCGGTCGGCGTCAGAAGCCTGTCATACCATGCCGGAAATGTGATGTGCGGGAACAACCTGTTACCACCTGGAAGCCTGACAGCTGGTGTGGAGCCACCCATCCGTGCTAAAGAATCAAGGCCGGAGGCAAATTTGGACCTAACGCAACCCAAAATAGACCTTCTGGTGAACCGCCGGCTCACAGCAAAATGTTCTTCTCCCGTTTATACAGATCCTTGAGGAGCTTGAGTTGGTTAACGCTCATGCTCTGCCGGGGCAGGCTGTCGGGCAATTCGACTATAGCCTTCCTCATCAGCGCCAGTCCGATATGCCCGAAAAAACCAACAATTCTTTCGGCCGACGATTTTAGCATAGCCGAAAGCAGGGTAACATGGGTATCCTGGATCTCTGCTGGCGGGATATTCAGGATTTTATGCATGGTATACCAAAACATGGTGTTGGGGAAAGGGTTCTTGCGCGCGGTTTTGCCAAAATTGCGCAGGGTCAAGGCCGCATAACCCGCACCTAGAGCTGTCATTCGGTCGGCGTGGGCCTGTTCGCTGATGTACGGCCCGTCCGGCCCTTCGCGCCACCAACCCAGGGCACGTCGGCCACCCTCGGTCTTCTCACTGCCATGGAATCCCCACAGCGCTGGGCAAACGACACGGTACTTGGCCAATAGAATGTCGACCATGTGGCAGCCCTTGTAGATGAAGGCATCGGCGGAGAATATCTGGGCCGCGACGATCCCGACCGGCTCCGCATGGCCCAGGTTGATGGACGCCTCCGTGATGAGGGAAGAAATCATGCACTTGGAGAAGATGTTCAAGGCGTAGATTAAAAGGGCAGGCACCTTGTTATCATCGGAATTGGCGATATTCTCGGGCGGGAAAGCGATGAACTGGCGAACATCCACCGACGGTTCAGCAATGGAGGCAGCTTTCTCCAGGGTAGTTCGAATCTCTTGAAGCTGTGTGGAAGTCAGCAAGGTTAACTAGCTGTCTTCTATCCATCGAAAGCAAAGCAAGACACTTACCTGTGTTTTGTTAGCTCCCTTGCCTTCGCGTAGTTGTCCAACACACTTCTTGATCGTTCGCCGCATATCGCCCATGTTCTGCTTGACAATGGCATTGGTTTTCGCTTCGTTCTTCAAGTATTGCCGGAATTTCTTAAGATGTTGATGTAATTCCACGTAGCGGGCCTGGATCTTGATTTCTTCGTCCGTAAGACGGGCGCCTCCAACCTGCCGCTGTCGCTCCGCCTGTGCCTTCTGTGCGGCTTCCGCTTGGCGTTGGGAAGCCTCCTGCTCTGCCTTCTGTGTCTCCTCTTGACGCTTGCGGTTCTCTTCCTCTAATCGCTCTCGTTCTTTCCGCGCCTGTTCTTCCTGTGCCGCCTTTCTTTTCC